CCTTTTGTAAATTGATTCTTGCTCCATGAGAAAATGTCGTAAACAGCTCGGAGACGTCTTATTTTCTTCAGAAATGTTTGCTCTACACGACAGGCTCATTTGCAAAGAATTTCTGGATTGAACTCTGGGACTTGGTTTTCTGAGATTTGAGTTTTCCAGAGATCCTGATTTCAGAAGTTTTGATGGAGCCTTTGTATACACCACCTGAGATCGGAAATTCTTTCAGCTATTCAAATCTTTTTTCAAATTTATTCTAGCTATTATGATCATGCAATAATTGCAGCTAGACGCATTTATGTGTCGCCCGGAGCCAAAGGGTTAATCCATTTATCAGGTAAATTTTTTTTGTCCATGCTCGAACTTCCCACACTTAAAAAAAGTGACTATACAAAGATGAAAGATCGCAATCAACTTAAGAATATGTGAAAGAATATGTATTTTTTTATTTCTTATAGTTCATGTTTTACTTGTTCATTAAAGTGTGCGGAGTTGCGATCATGTACATTTCAAATTTATGTAATTATGTGCGGAGTTTGGCGTATAGCTAGTCACTTTTTATTAACTGTGTGCGGAGTTGTACCGATTCTTTTCTATCCACTAGATCCATCAGTTAACATGCAATAAACAACAACAAGTTTTTTATCAGTTTTATTCTCTAAAGTGAATTATGTACAAAAAAGTAATGCTTATAAATAACACAGAATTGAACAAATACAACTGCGATAAGGCTGCCAAAAATACACACTTTTCACCACACAATAGGATGACGCATCTTATTCTCTACGATGGGTCTCGGATAGCATACAATGCTAACGAAAAACATACTTCATCCAGTTACTTCAAGTCTCAGAAGTAACACTCACAATTCTTTTTTACTGCTGTTAATCATCCAGTAAAGTTTCTAATTTATGAATATAGTCAATCGCTCCCACGACAATATCAATACGAGACATTTTACGTCGTTTTCTTCCATTTTTATGTGGCAATATTTCACGTAAATTAGCGTACGCACTGTTCATTGTTTCCATTCGTCTTCGTTCGCGTTGATTCGCTTCTGTTCGTTGATCCTTCGATAATATCCGACGTTTTTTTCGTGATACACGATGTTGAATGCTCTCACTGGAATTAAAAGAATCTCGAGTTTCTTCCTGATCATAACTGAATTCCACATCTTCATTTGAGTCAACAGTTAATGTAGAATGCTGTTCCGGAGGATGGGTAAAGATTGTTCGAGCATAATACAACTACAAAAACAAAACGAAAATTATCACAAAACACATTTTGACCGAAGATTCAGTGTTCGCCTTCAGTCTGAATTTAAGACGTTCTGTTCTGACTTAGTGGTTATCAGAAATGAGAAAACCATTGCATTAGTTCGCTAGTATTCAGCTCCGCATAGATATACAAAATATTGTGGTGGCAATTTGGATTAACAGCGATATTCTGTCATTCATAAGGACACAGATTATACCCTAAATGGCGATAAAAACTACGCACGCATTCTTACCTCCTTTGAATCTTCCTGTAATTGTTGATTGTTATAAATTGTATTGATTCCATTATATACTGAAAACTGACTTTTGACGACTTTTGAATTATGTTGTTGTTGTTGTTCTGGTTCAAAACTAATATCATTTCCACTTTCATATCCAGATGAATTCATTGTATTATTCAACGATGAATTAAATGAAAATGAAGGATAATGTTGACTGTAATATGGATAAGGCGGACATAACTGCCCGATTGACCATGGAAGGTTACTCATAGTGTATCAAAATTTCAAAGGTATTTAGAACATGTAGTACGAAACGAACAAGTCGACTATAAAGTTTAATACACATTTTGATGATCTATATATACTATTCAACAGAAATATTTTCCACCAATAAAATGACATGAGAAATAGTTTTTGAAAAAATATCGATGCTGAAGATGACCAAATTTTACACATTGAATGATTTTTCGTCAATATTAGATTTTAGTTTTCCGTTAGAGAAAAGTCATCAATTTGACAATTAATTAAAGATAAAAGCTGCTGCTACCAAAAAATATTTTACTTTCTAAATATTACTCATTAAGAATGAGGAAAAAAAATATCACATGAGTTAGATGCGTATTCTGTATTTAGTTCAGTGATAAGTTTTCATTATAAACAAGAGCTATGTCGTCAAGAAACATCTGCTGTATGTGCGTTGTAAGTGATTATTGACATTTTCCATGCTTATCAACTAAATATTAAAGTTAGTTCCGTATTGAACTGTTGATTACGTACAGTATGACACAATCAGCAGAAAAAATTTTAAACAGTAACAATAATTTTGCCATAGTAGACTATTTTCGAAATCGTTTGAGAAAAGATAATTCATATAAAAAAAGACAATAAGTATTTTCAATGAATAGGTTTTGTTCTGAAAGGTTTTTCTATAACTTTTATATAAAAGTAAGTATCGTAATGTGTAGCTATTTGTAAATTATTTTCTAAGTCATATCAGGCTGTATGACAGGATATGTTACAGTTCAATATTCTACGTGTTGACTTCTGGTATTCTAGGTCGAATAATCGACTATACAGTTGTGTAGTAAACTGGTCACTACTAATTAACTTTTGCTCTTAGTAGATGGTTGTTCAATCTCATGAACATCTTGGAATAGACATTGAGTTAACCAGTAGATTACTTTAAATATCTTGTATATTAACTAAATTGAACTTGTATCGCTCGAATAAAAAATACGAAATTAAAGTATCGACCGAGAAGTTAAATAATCGTATCGCTTTGTTTCGATGCTTACTGTTGGGAGAGTCCTTCATCTGTTGTCTTGCCCATGCATTGATCTGACAGACAATATTCTTCCCTGGGAATGCGTTCAAATGTGTTTAACTTTGAAATAGTGTGATTAATTAAACCGTATTCTAACATCATTGGTTCAATTTCTTCTTGTCGCATGAGCGAGTCAGTTGCTTCACTAGATGAGGGAGAATGAGATATGCGGTACTTTAGAAGTACTCGGTTGCTATCATTTCTGCTAAATAACAGTGTGAATTTGATTAGTGTCTATAACAGTGTGAGGCTGTTCGCTTAGAAAATTTCGTAAATCTCAATGATTTTTTTCATGTCACCGAACCCATATACACGTATATAAGCAATCTCTCTATAACCTTCAATAGGCACCGTTTGAGATAGCAAATGTTCAATTGCAGAATAATTCAGCAATAAGCGCAGTGAAGAATATGTGGATAATTAATTTAAGCATCTGTTTCAGCACAATTCTATTTTTCAATTCATTGTCTTCGATATTTTGATAGCGCACAATGGCGTTTATGAAGTGAGTAGAAATTATCATATAGCCTTTTGTTTATCTAAATCGAAATTATGATACTGATCTCATCTTCATTTACTTTATATAGAATAATATTGTGAGTCAATGAACGTGCAATGCATCCAATAATGCGAATTATCATTGTTTTATAAGTTTTTGTTCAACAAGTTAATATATTTGGATTTCCACGTTTATTAATTAAAATTCGCTCCATCATGATTTGTTGTTCTGTTTCTTGTTGCAAATGAGATATACACATTTGAACGTAAATGTGTGTGTGAGATGAATACACTTATCGCGGTTCAGATTCCCGTTCATTCACAAGAAATAATGATTTGGGATTATTCAGAATAGTTCGATAAATACTCATAAGACTGTCAGTTATAAAATAACTTGTTAAAGCTCTATAAATGTCTTTTTAAGTTTTTAGCTTATTTGAAATAAATTAGATTGTAACATTTGATGGTTTTCCGGCACATCACCATTTTGTTCATAAAACTTTGTCAAATAAAAATAGATTCTAACTCGTTAATTAACCAAAATTGTCATGGTAGTTATTAGTGAACAAAGATATTTTTCTATATATCATCACTCTCAGTAAAATTCATTAGCGCAAAATATAATAGGAGAACAGTAAATCGAATCCTACTTGACTAGGTCCTGATTTCGGTCAAAAATGAAACCAGTCATAATCACATGAATGCCAAAGGCGACTATGATGTTTTGATCACAAAACGGGATATATGTAGGTTTGTAGAGGAAGATTTCCGCTATCTAGTGGTGTATGTATTATCAAATTCTGTTGCGTACCGTGAGAGAAAATTAAAGGTAACCCCTTTTTTTTTAGACTCTTTTAGAAATTTTTTTTATTTTTGAGTTAAATGTTCTGCATTATAGAGTAAAGTGTCCTCTACAAAGTAAGCCGCTTCCAGGTTTCCAAGACCTTCCGTTGAGGAGATACAAATTTTTTAAAGTTTGTTACTTTACGCTGAAAAAAACCTACGTTTTTATTGCGAAACGTTTTTCTCTTCCATTCAGTAGCTGATAAACTTTTGAAACAGTCAGGCTTATAAAGTAAAGGTTTCTCTACAAAATGAGATGTTTCCCAGCTCTCCATTATGTTTTTTGATAGAGTTATAATCATTTTGGACGGTATCTCACAAATGTGACTTTTTCAAAGACTTTCAACAAAATGATCATAACTCTATCAGAAAACATGGTGAAAAGTTAGGATACATCTAATTTTGTGGGGAAATCTTTACTCTACCAGACTGACTGTTTCAAAAGTTTATCAAGTACTGAACGAAAGAGGAAAGAGTTTCGAAAGTAAGAAACTAGGGTTTTTTCAGAATAAAGTAACAAACTTTAAAAAATTTATATCTCCTCAACGAAAGGTCTTAGAGAGCTGGAAGTGGTCTTGTTTTGTAGAGGACACTTTACTCTATAATGTACAATATTTAACTCAAAAATAAAAAATATTTCTAAAAAAGTGTAAAAAGAGAGGGGTTAGCTTTAATTTTCTCTCACGGTACGCAACAGAATTTGATAATATATATACCACTAGATAGAGGAAGTCATCCTGTCATAAACTTACATATATCCCGTTCTGGGGTCAAACATTACCATGAAAGTCATAGTCGCCTTTTAGTTATTTTTTTAGGCCTCCATCCTTGTTAAAAGCATAGCCCGCCACCTCTAAGTACGGTCACGACCAAAATTTCATGTAATATAAACTATACAAAGTAGAAATCTTTTGTTGTGTTAATAATTAGACCAGTATTCAAAATATGGACACCTGTTCTTGGTCGCCCGACATATTAGCTCCATTTTAAGAACACCTGAAGATCTCTATGCATCTGAATGGAGAGTTTTGAGAACACACATTGGTCTAGAAGTGAAAGAAGTGTTTCTGAAAAAATCTGTAGTGAACTTTCAGATGTCCGGCTCAGTAAAGCATAATCTGAAGCACAGCATTTACTTGTACGAGGAAACATACGTATTATTTTTTAGTAGGAGCTCGTCCCAGTAAAGTCAGGAAAAAATAGCTACATCGTGATAAAAAAGTGCGCCCGAGTGGATGGTACATTTTTTTGCGATGAATCGGACACATTGCGTGGCATCTCGAATATGTCGTCTACAAGGACATATCGGATGTGTGCCTAGTACATACATATCAAGTTTATTTTACCGTATTTCTGAGTAATTAATTGATCAAAAAAGATGTATTGGATTAAAAAGAGGCTTCAATCAGGCAGTTTCGATCAACGATGCGCATAGACTGCTTGCAGTCAACTCACTTATTTTTTCCCTAACGTATTTTTTTTAGAATATCTGTATGATAGCACAATAAATATGCGCTCTACAAGAGCAGTATTCGATGTGTCCTTCTATGAGGCACTTGTTAATACGACACATTTCAGAACATATGCTACTCGCTGTAGTGCGGGACATTTAGAGAAGTGCTCACGCGCGCGACACAATTCTGTCATGGCATTTCGCATATGTCCTTTAACACGACACAATCTAAAAGCGGCACATTCTATGATATATTTGTTTTTACAGTGTAGTTGAGATAAAGACATTTGCATTGATACATGTGTCTGATTCCAGAATGCCGAGTATACGTTCACATAGACGGATTCTTAGATGTTTTCCATATCCATGCGGAAAGACGTATCTCGTATTTGTAAGATTTCTACGCTGGCTATGCATGTATGAATAATAAACTGGTTATTCTCTATTATTCCAAATCCTTTCAATCTTTTAAAGCTGATCGTTAATAAAACTTGATTACTGGTCGGAAAACAGCTTCAAGAACCTAATCAGAACATCTGAAAGTTCTCTTGGAAAACGACAACCTGTCCGCAATGAGGGACAAATAGTTTCTTAAATCCAGATATGAATCTTCGACTATAGATTATCAAATAAATTAATCAGCTACTTTTGAAGTTGTTGTTTGTTATGTTAAAATATTTTGATCAAAGACTCACAAGGGAGCATTTTGTAGCAATAATTAACCACTTAATTTAATAACTCATACAGATAAAACTTTATGCTTTATTTTGCAGTTCGATTTATGAATTTCATAATTTCTTGTTACATTTTATTGTACACTATTATTTATTTATGCAAAAGAAAACTACATTACACTTATTCAAACGTTACTAGAAGTCAAACATGATAATAAACAAATACCAATACGTTCTGATTAACAGAACAACAAGCTCGAATAGAAAAAGTTGATTCGCCGTTGTCTAGAAACTTTCTTGATAATCTTAATTATTTGTAGTAGTAGCATCTATAGGTGAAAGTAAATCAGGGATCGGAACAATTAAAAACAAGACAAGATAACACTTAATTGTCCCATCGATCATTTAAATTTTATAATCTTGGAGAATAAACCTATTTATAAGATACTGTTCAAATTGTATAAACTCTGTCATTAATGAACAGAAAAATAATCGATTAATCGCAATATAGTACCTTTCATATGAACACATTTATTCACAAGATCCATACAAGAAGTTGATCAATCGACGTTCGCGGATGTGATTTTTTTGTTGCTAATTTTGAATAGTTCTGATGTTGCGCTTTTCTGCAATAAAATGTTGAATTTTTCTTTTGAACTGCACTAGTAGTTATATTATTTGATGATGATGAACCTAACACGGACATAAATGCTTTTCGACGACATAATTCACAGGCGATAAATGGACGAGTACGACGTTGTTTTGAATATAATGGCGTTGAACAACGAGGAGTTTGTGTCGGTGACCAACTGGATGATAAACGAGCTAAAATTCAGATTGAACAATGTATATTCAGATGTTTCAGAGAGTCTTGCACAATTCATAGTACAAAATTTTAATTTAATTATTCAAATAAACAATTAATTGGTAAGACTATAAATTTCGGCATTTAAACAATGATCGATTTTTATAGATATTTCTGTTAATCACACCCAATCTTCTATAAAGGTAGATGCTGTTCAATCTTTGCTATATACTGTTAATATTAAAGTGTTAGAAAAGCTGTTCCTTCGCTATACAACTGTTTTATTCATTCTAGACATCTTCTATTTGTCGCCCGGCGGTCTTATTTGATTTCAATTCTTAAATCGGAAAGTCAACAAGTTGTTCAACAACCACTTTTCTGCTATATGTTCTCGTTTGTCTTTTTTTCTGTAAAACTATTAAAAATAATCGATCGATAGCGCGACGAAAGATGTACGGTCTATATTATTTAAAGAGTTTATAATCTTAGAACAAACTCTTATATGAAAATTAATTTTCATGTCAGCAATCAACTCTCAAAGGTTCAAGTGTAGTTAAAATAATAATAATAATAGAAGATAAAAAAGGTTTGTTGAGTAGAAAAAAAAGTTATGTCTCGTCGGTTAAACATCAAAGAAAGAACAACTATATCATTTTATCACAAATGACTTTTATTGAGGATAAACTCTCATAGTAAACATCATTTTTGACAATTTAAGTCTCAACTTAAACATCACTTGACATTTTTACTTTTGAGTCAGTGGCGGCAAATTCAATTCCAAAACTACAAGAACTTATACTTTTGAAAATTTTTTACTGATAGAAAGATGTTTCCTAAATGATTTCAAAAACTTTGGATGTAACGCTTCCATTGCTGATACGATTCACCTCTCGTATTTCCAGTGATCGAAAAGGTAAAAAGGGTAAACAACTGCATTACAGGAATAGCATTTGGATTCTCTGAAAACAACGGTACTTATGCAACTCATTGAAGTACTGGATGTGACGCGAAATCCGAGTTCATTTCTAATAGAACCTGTCGAGAGAAGTGTTAAAGCGGTTTGTTCTATAGCCTTATAAAAAAATAGCAGCTACTTCTTTATGTTATGAGTGTTAGAAACCTCTTAAAAGTTCTCGACTTTTAATTCGATCAAGACAAACAAGCATTTTTTGTCGCTTAAGTGAAAAATGGTCACTATGAAGTGGTTCTAGCAGCTTTTTCAAACTTGTGTTTATTGATCAACGTAGCTGTTCAATGACGAAGGATATCCTGTCGCTTGTTTTTAACTTTATTTATATTCATTTAACATAAAACTGTGAATTTAGCTCATCCTAAGTTAATATATTCAAAAATAGAGAAGAAATGTGATTAAGATAGAGAAGTGAAGAAGATGGGACAACTAAAAAGTGGCAACTGTATAAAATTATTTTTCGTCTGTTCAAAAAGAAGTGTTTCATAATCAATTAGATACCAAATATGAAATTTATTCAGTAGAGTGAGCGTAACAATCAAACAGAGTGATGAAAAAACAAAATCAGAAACCATCATAAATTTTTACACTTGAATTTAAAACTGTCACTTTGGATCCGAAAACATGTTTAGATGCTCACAACGCGACATGACTTCGACATTGTAGATTAACTACGCTAATTAGTAAAATAAAACATTTGTGTGTTTTTCAACCTCCGAAAATATTCTATTTTTAGCGTAGACAAAACATACCATAACGGAGGAATAAAAATGAATATTAAGAATTTTGGTTGAGTTTTGAAAAAAATAGAGAATTGTCTTACCTGCTTTTCCACGGGATAATTCATTAATATTTTGTGCAATAACTTTAGAGGTTGATTTTGGTGTGGATGATCTGAGAAATAAGTTATTTGTTGTTGACGGTTGTTGTTCTTGTCTAACAGATATTGATGTGCTTTTCGTGACATATTGTCGACGAGATGATGATTGAAGTTTTCTATTAACTGAAGTTAATTGTTGCTGTTGCAATGATAAACTTTCATTGTTGATATTTCGATTTGATGAATACAATATCGATGTTAGTTCAATTGAAGTGGTTCCCAAATTCATGAAGATGCGTTCGTTTTATTTCTATTCTAAAAGAGAAAACAGAAATAATGACTAAAAATGAGTCGGCGGCACTATTCTCCTTGACGTAATATGTGTCAACCATTTATACTGATTAATAAACCGCGAACTGTTGAATAATTGTCTTAACACTTGTGTGTAGTTCCACTCAATTAATATGCAACAAATGATGTTCATTCAATACGTAACCAAAGTGGAAATAGTTTCATAATTATGTGAAAATAGACAAACCATTGTCCGAACTCTTAATCTCTTGGTGAAAAGACAGTAGGCGAAAAACTGAACTTAAATTGACGAGATATATGTAAATTTGTGAAATAGTGTTTACCTTGAATCAAAACTAAAATGATGTTGACGATAAAGAAAAGTGTCAGATACTCCAAAAACATTTTTTTAAGAAGATGAAACGATATGTCATTAGTCATGACATCTCTCTTTTAACTATAAAATACTCATAGGTGAAATATTTTAATTAACTCTTAATAGAGTCACCGAAAATGAGGTGCTTCGATTATAACGCATTTCTTAAACACTGGAACAGAGATTGATACAAGACGGAGAAAAAAAAAGCGGTAGATTGAATAAAAAGATATAAAATGCGTGAAAGTGTTTTTATACTCAAAAATAAAGATAAATAATCTCAACTCTAGCGAATATAGTTATAAACTAATTGTTTTAAATTTATGTGATGACTTCCGACATTTTCTTACTCACAATTGTTTCTCGATGATTCGATCTATTCTGAAAAAAGCTCGAAGCACTTTAATAAAAACAGAAAAAAGGGTATAGTAACGAGAAAAGAAATTTTTGTACAATCTTGCTTCTGCTTCTTCATTCTACCAGGAGTATGGGATCCTGAGGGTGACTCCCATCCAATAAATTAAAAGTATCTGTTTGTCTTGGCTCAGCGGACGAGAAAACAAACGACTTTTAAACTATCTCTGCGACGGTTTTTAGTATTGACTAACTTCCATTCAAAAATCTGAAGTTCACATCATTCTTGTATTCTACCACAATCCATCAATTCTTTCCGCTACGTTGCAAATAATTCATCTCGCTTAACCACTCAGTCTCAAAAAATCAAACATACTTACATTCAGTTTTAATTGAAAAATCTATATTAAAAAAGTCTTTTGAATATTATCTTTCGTATCTGCCAATTGACAATATATTTTCTCTCACATATCTTCTTCTTTAGAAAAAGAATAGAAAAGAATAGTTAACATCGATTGGTCGCTACACAAAGTGACTTTTGTTTTATTGGCTAAAATAAAATTGTTACAAAACTAAAGAAGGAAAGGTAAGAAAGTCAACTCTATATACATTTTAGAGCAAATACAAATAATTTAATATTGAAAGAGTGGCAAAAATCATTTTTTTTGTGTTGTCTAATTGTCAAGTCAAGTTGTTAAAAAAGAATAGCTGAAAAGTGAGAGTTTGACACACTCCTGACATGATGATTTCCGTTATGAAGAGAACTTGACCACGAAAATAACTTTCAAGTTGATGCTATTTCTACAATTCATTCAGTAATAAGAAGAGTTTGAAAAACAAAGAAACGTTACGGGAAAGCTTTAAACTAAACAACTTCTGAAACAAAAAGGAAGTTAACATTTTTCTCATTCATTATGACTGCAATCAGTGGTGGATGCAGAATTATTCTTTAATATGTGCAGTGTAGGATAAAAGCGCGAGATACGTGCAGTCGTCATAGAAACAAATTATTCTAAGAAAGTTCTGCTGAGAGAAAACAGTTTTTCGGTTAAAAGATGCGAGAGTCTGCTCGTACCACTCGTGGGCTGGATCCACAACTGACTGTGATAATAATGATTTTTAAAAAACTTAAAATCTCATCATGTTAAACAGTTATAAAGACGCTTTCTTCTGGTTTTTATGAATGAAAGCTTATCGATAATTCGACAAACAAGTGCAGAAACGAAAAGAACCAGAGATCTGTCGTCTGACTAGAAACAGTTCCATGAGATCAGGGCTTCAAAATAACCTTAACTAACTGTTCAGTTATTCGTTGAACTCTAAACCGGAAATAAATGTTGACTTATAGAATTAATTAGTTCCATTGACTTTGCCCATCAAAACATACTTATCGTTTATCGAAAAAATGAACAAAAATTTGTTATCAATCTGTCGCTTAATCGATTGTGCTATTACAATCAATACATTTGTGTTCATTTTTTTGCTAATAATCAAAATAGTTGATTGCAGAGAGAAAGAGACATAAGTTCGAAAAATAAGCTGTGACTGTCAATTGATGATATAGACTCACCTAAAATTTTTAATGCAATATTCGAAAAAACAGACACAAGAACAGAACAAACAACAAAGTAAAGAATAATAGAGGATACTCGTTCTATTGGTTCATTTATTTTCCATAGTTGTGAACATCCTGATGATGATCGAAAGTAGTACTGCGAGTAAATGAGGTTCATTGCCATTGAGGCGAAAATAAATTTTTTCATAGTTTATAAAATTTTAAATTTGATTTATAATGGATATTAAAAAACAACACTGAGAATATCAACGTATATATTTCATAGGTGAAAAATTATTAGAACATTCAGTAAAGGTTAATGTACTCTTCCCTACAGTGATTTTTCAACTATTTGTGAAAGACAACAATCAAACAATATTTCATATTTCAACAACAATATTTCATGGAGTCCAAGACAAAACAGACAACTTTTATAACAACCCTCACAGGATCTCAGCTAGTATATCTTAGATCCTGTAAGAGTGTTATTCATCTTTCTAGAAAAAATCTTTCAGTAATACAGATAATTAAAGTGTTATTCATAAATGATAACATGTGCTGATAAGGTTTGGTAATGTTCTTAAAAAAGGAAACAAACAAGCATCGATTTAGATCATGTCGGCTATAAAAACAAAAATATACACTATTTTTCAACGATACGCACTTCTTCTAAAGAAGAAAAAAGTAGCGGTATGTTTATGTTTGTTTTCTTAAGAAATGATATATATTTACGTAAATTAGAAAAAGATTTCGGACTTTTATTGAACTTTGTTCTATCAATATACACTCACAGCAAGTAAACATAAGAACAAGTCATTTCAAGTTAAAATTGAACTTCAGATAATACTTAAAATCACATTCTTATTACAAAACAATTTAATAAGCGGATACTTATAAATCCTACTGTAAACAGATTTTTGAGCCTTCTATTTTTTATAATTCTGTACTGCGATGGAAAAAAAAGTTATAAAAACCAATGCTTGTTAGAAACTGCAAAATTTAAGACGATTCTATACAAGCCTTCTACTGCCTCTAGTTTTACCAGAGCACTCAACACTCCGAATATTTATTATAGATCTCTCTCAGGAAATGTTTCGGTGAGAGAGAAAATGATGAAATACTTCATCTAGAAGAAAATTTAAACACAGTGGTAGTCATTGTCTATCTCAAATTAATCCTGAAGAGGAAAATTAGTGTGGTATCCTCACTCACGACAAATACATACCCGAGATATTGAAGTGTTTAAGATATATTTGATCTTATATCAATCTTTGACAATTCTTTCTCTGTTTAACTTTGTTTATTGCGTAAGACGATATGATTGATCGTCTTTTAATTGAACATCCTTAACAATAATATTTCATACAACAAAGACGATTACTGTATATCTGTAATGTCTCGATCACTTTTTATACTTCCCAAAACAATTTATTATGTTACGTTATCTTCTATTTCGTCGTTCACAGAACGAATAGTTTATTCTTCTATAATTTTTATTTGTTATCAATAATGTTGATCATGAAGTCAGGGTCGAAAAAAGATCATACATCATCAAAATGTACCTGCTACACTGCTCTTATCATCTACTCAAATCATTTTATTACCCTCTTGGTTGAACAAGGCGGATTCACTCTCTATTTTATCTTCTTCAATGAAAATCTATCATCTAATTATTAAACATATATTCAACTTTTATCATCCGTTTTTTATAGCCAAACTATTGATTAATTGTGAACACTTTCTCTTCTTTCTACTTTTTCCACTGTAAAACGGTGTGACTCTACGCTATTAGTCGACATTTAAGGCGTCCTATTGATACAAAATAATGAAAAATTTGAATAAACATAATATTGCTAATCGCCCTGATTTACGGACAAAACATATTCCCAAATAACATTAATTATTTATAGCCTGTTTATTCCCATGGGATCAAAATCGACATTTTCACTAGCAGAGTGAGATCATTGATATTATTGTAGAAGTTGTTTTATTATTTGCCGACGAAACGGCATCTTTTACGTTTTTTTTTTATGGGATTATGAACTATGGGACCGAGACACAAACCACTGAACTGAGGAACTTACAGAAGTAAGCCTTTGGACTGCATACTCATAATGCTTTTGGATAGACTTCTGAAAAAAAATACAACGTGTTGCGAAAAGCTATCGCTATTAAAATTGTAAAATTCCTACTGCATAGATATGCACAGATATCATATCATACCATTTTAGGGATATTCACTATACCCTTCGCCTCTACCTTCTAAGACAATCGGCATCAGATCGATTTCAAGATAGTCGCTTCAAAGAAAAGAATTTGTTAACCGAAAAAGTTACAAAACAGCCGTATTTTGCAGAAACATGCGTTGGAAGACGTCTTCTATTTTGAAACATGTGGTTGAACCGGTTTGGATGCTTGTCGGCAGTTGGAGTCATAGATATTTGTTTCAGATAACATCCATCCTTTCTGTCCAAAGTGCCAGTTCTCTCTTATCTACCCGGTTAATGCTCTTTATTGAATATTCTTGTGTGTGAGATAGATTTGTGGAAAATCCAAAGACTCGCTCTATTAAACTTACGTTAGTTTATCGGGAAGACTTTCTGACGTGCTAACGGTTGAAACTGCACATTTTTTTCATGAATTTTGAAGCTTTGATAAAATCGTCAACTAAAAGGCATGACTGACTCTTTCACGGTTTTCGTCTTTTATTTTCATTGGTTTCCTTTGGCAAACTACCGGTTCACGACTTTAGTTTTATAGTTTTGAGCTTTACGATATTTTTTCATGGTTTCATTTTCACAGTTCTCAAACTGACGGTTTTATTTCAGGATTTCCCTTCTATGGTTCAAAAGTGGACGGTTTTGTTTCTATGGTTTTAACCTTTACGATTTTACTTCAATAGTTTTTCTCTTATACCTTTGAATTTCACGGTTTTCATGATGTAATTTTCTACTTCTTGGTTCTTCTACACGATTTTTTTTCGATGGTTTTGGATTTCACGGTTCTTCTTACAGTTCTTTTTTAACCGTGTAGTGATCGATAAAAATGCCAAATTTGTAATCAGTGCAGTGAGTGAGTTGAACAAAATAAAATATATGACATCAAAATCCCATATTAACACCCATGAACCTTCCCTAGCGAGTAATGTTATGGAAATAGTTCCTATGCCTTCCTAACAACATTTTAATTTCATTGCATGTTTACAGTCGAAGATCATATTATCTTCTCTGACATTCTACATCCGTTCGTTTACAGAAAATAAAATAAAATAACTAGACAATTCTCTGATTTTTAATAAAATTGTAATAATCTCTTTGCATTATAAATTACTAGAAACATTCGAAGCGTATTAAGGAGGGATCTCCCCCTCCCGGTTTTTAGAGCACAGCAGAGATGTAACCGGTCAAGATTTTCTCCACCGGGCCGATAACCAGCCTAAAAAATTTTGACCAGTCGAAACCATTTTTGACACCACGTCGAAGTCTGTATCATTAGAATTGCAGAAGGCATCTGGGACGCATGGACACCTACTTTTTGATTCATAAACTCAATGTTTCAAGCTCAAATTTTTACTGTCAACTGTCTAAGGTCAGATACACATTCAGTGAGAATTAATTATTGTGCTCGCTCTGCAACCAGTTATTTTTGCTTTTTAAATTCTTCAAGTCCTTTTGTTTGTTCTGTGTTGTTTTAAATTGTTTCCTGTCCGTGTCTGTGTGTGAGAAAGGAAGTTGGCGCAAGTGTGTGAATGTAAAAACCTAACGGCCGAGGGATGCTAAGACTTCAGAAAAATGCCCGTAGCTCTCGAATCATGGATTACCAAGATGTGGTTTAAATCCAGTTTTGTCGAGGACACCTGAGATTATACATATGTATTAAAAAAATCCATTGATTTCTATTTCTGTTTTCAGAGAGCCGAACTGGTTTTCCACAGATCTCCTGAAAAACGGATCTTTGAAATTTTTCCAAAATTCGTTTTTGCTGATGAAAGCATAGCTTCAGGTCTTGGCTAGCCAGTGATGAAAATCGCAAGTCTCTATCTTTTATTTCTTTTGAATTATTCAAAAAATAATCACCGGTCTTCTGTTCTGGCACTGATAGTCAAAAAAGAAAGAAAAACGAAAGAAAAGTTTTAAAAAAAATTTTTTTTCTCGACGGATCGGTCAAATTAATTTTTTTTCGACCGGCAGGCCGACCACCCGGTCACTTCACATGGACAATATTGTTCTCATATTTCTATAATACTGATATTGTTCACTGAAATCGTGTGTCAACGTGTACCAATGTGCTCACCCGCCAAGTTAGTTTGCATATCGTTCGATAGAGCTTTTGGAAAGTTACAAAAGCATATGTTTACCAAACTGAAAAATAACTGGCTACTCTAAGAAATCCCAAGGAGACTATTCTCAAGACCGTATTTTATGGGCTTTTTAACTGATATTCAGTAGATTTCGATGAGAAAAATTACGATTTGGGGGGATAGTGGTGGCGGGTCGGCACACCCTAAACTGATCACCCACTGGGTATACTGGACACACTCTCCATCTATCATTGACCTTAAACTTACATATTTATTCAAATAAGGTAACAATGTTACTGAGAAACATGAGGAAAGATTTCTTTTTGATATCATGGTTGATCGTCGTCGTCCGTCGAATCGTAGAAGTCGGAAAGCTGACTTGCATCTGTAACTAGACTGATGTAGTCTCCGGATGGCATGCGTCGATTCTCGATTTGCCATCGTTCGCAGACCAAACTGCACTTGCAATGTGACTGCATGATCCGATATGACGATTGCCTATTGGACGGTCGCACCACCAGTTTAATATGCTCCCTCTCAGATCAATCTCATATTCACAGGTCTGTTGTAGTTTTTTTCAGTGATTAAAACTAGCACATTAGAAAACCCATTTTGATCCCCCTAGAAAATTTTCCGCATCCAAATTTTTCTCTCGTTAAATGAACTTTACTTAGAGTATTTTCTTCATTTCTTCTCTTTTGCTCAAGCAAACCTCAATTACAACAGGAAATTTCACGGGCTTCCAAATGATATATAAGATATCGAGAACAAATTGGGTCTGGGTGTCCTAAAACCAGAAATACTGATCAATACCTCTGCAAATCCATAGGTCAACATCGTTCATCTTTCATATTATCCAGCCATTTCCTCGTTAATCGCTCCACTTTATACTCCATCCGATAGAGAATTTCACGGGCTACAAGATGCTATATAAGATATTAAGAACAAAATGGGACTGAGCAGTCTAATATCAGAAATACCCTGCAACATCTCAGCATACTGGTACATCAACATCGTTCATGTTTATAATATCCATTTATTTTTTCGGCAACCACTCAACTTCATATAGCTTTTGATAGAGAATTTCATGGGCTACAAAATGAGCTAAAAAGAGTTATTTATTTTATTCGTCAGACATCCCAATAATAATGAAGTTCTTGCTGTCTTCCTCTGAGACATTAGCTCTCTTTTGATGTGTATTCGATACGATAAATTTGAAAAAAAATATATAGTATAAATCAAAGCAAAACAAAACTCTACATATTTGGGATCAGGTTGAAAAACTACTCTTTTTATTCATAGGATTATGTTGAAATTACAAATGCGTAAAGTTACACCTGAGAGAAAAAAGTTTCGTAATAATTTTTGTTGCGTAATTACTGACAAGAAAGAACTTTACGCATTTGTAATTTCAACATAATCCTATGAATAAAAAGAGTAGTTTTCCAACCTGATTTTTAAAACTATCTCGAAACGTTTGCAAGATAATCTGAAACATGCAGTTATTCATTCGTGGAGGCATAGAATTACTGTCCTTAGATTTGGAAAATAAGGATATCACTGTCAAAGACATTAAAGAAATCATTGCTGTTGAATATGAAGTCGAAACAGTAGACGATATTTTATTAAGTTTCAGTGGTATCCCATTGAACGATGATGACAAACAACAGCTGACTGCTGGCTCGAAATTCCTTAAAATCGAATTTTACGAAATTTTAAAATTTTAAAAACCGTATTTTTAATTAAAAATTCGAGTTTAAGGAATTTCGAGCTAGCAGCCTTATCTCATAGAAAATGACATTCTGTATTTGCTGTATTTGCTACATTCTGTAGATTTCAATGGCGGGTTTGAATCTATTACTGGTATTTACCTATCACAAGATTTCAATCTGAATACTACACATCTTAATCGAAAAAAGACGGCTTTCCTTTATTCTCTAAAAAAATCAACTTTTCTTTCAAATGTTTTCTCTTTAACAATTGACCCATGCTTCAAGGAAACGTCTGCAAACTTTTGAATTTCTAGTTCCAGAAACGACCACACTGCAACCATTTCCTGTCTAACTACAATCTTCATTCGTCCTTGAGTTGCTCTCTGTAATCTGCTTTTACCATTGGCCGTTATACTATTAATGTCAAGAAACAATCTCTCGAGTGTCTGATTTACAGTTAACATTTCCAAAATTGACTCAACACATGAATCACTGAAGTGGGTATATTTTAATTTTAATTCCATCAGAGTATAATTGTGATATTTCAATACATTCCACAACATTTTACAAGCATCGTCTCCAATATCGTTCAAGCCAAGATCAAGTTCTTCGAGTGTTTTGTTAACTTTCGACATTTCAATGAAGACCATCAGCAGTTATTTTGTTTCCAAAAAGACTGAGTGACTTATAGGTCACATTTGTCGTTAGTTCATTCGCAATGTACCACAGTTCATCGTCTGTTAGATCCTTTAAACTGAAACACCAATCATTTTGTTGTTTCTTGTAATATTCAACGAGTTGCTTTATTTTCCTATCGACATACGGAACGGCGGGACTGATTACTTCTTCAGAAGTTCTCTTGAGTTGTCTGAATTGACGGATTCGTTAGATTCGATCCAACCAAGAGAATGTCAAGAAGAGGAAATGGACTGCCAATGAACAACCGCACAAGACGCTGACTTTGTATCGAGAAATGAAAAAAACACTTCGTTGAAACCAAATCAAGTTACATTGACTCTACTTGCAACAGCAGCTTCTCAGATTGGCATGTCGACTGAAATTTAACTGAAATTTATGGTGAAGTAATTAAATACTATCCAAATTATTTGAATGAAGATGTCAGATTATCTGCTACAATCATCTCACTTCTTGGAAAATGCAAAGACCATGTGAAAGCGCATTCGGTCTATGAGTTAATACCACTTAAAACACATACTGCCGTTTAGTATGTCTCTTAGTATAGTCGGAAAAAGAAAGTGCTCGTCTTTCCTTTATTCTCTAAAATAATAAACTTTTCTTTCAAATGTTTTTTCAACTTACAAAGAATCTTGGTGTCTGTGGTGACTGTCAAGCAACAAAACGTCTTTTGAAGCTGAGACAGTGTGTGATCACAGTGAGAGACAGTAATCGTATTCATCATTTTTCGGATAGAAAATGTTCGTGTCGGGATCATTTCAAGAATTGTTTTCTTAATGTAACGTCAGATATAATTGTAGTTTGTTCATTTTTTTGTAGTTAAAGATGTTTGAATTGCCTGTCGTACAGTTTCGAGTTAGTAATGAAAAGGAATGGTCTGGATTTGATGTTAGATATGGATTTGAAGGTGATTGTGGGGCAGGAGATAGAAGGTATTGCAGCTGTTCACTATCGAGAAATTGTTTCATCGATGGAAAAGCTCCAGAAACGTTGAAAATAGCTGAAGGAGGTGTGTGTTTATTCAGAATCCTTATTCTGAGTTTCTTTGTTCCAGGTGCAGTCAGTCAAAAAGATCGTGTGTACTTGTCACGTTAAATTCAAGAACGTAAAGTGACGATTTATTCGCATATGAGCCTTTGTATTTATGAAAACCGAATTCTAGTGCTTGTTCCTCGCCCTCTGACCATTTCATTTTTCGAATTCTTAGACACTCAAGAAGCTTTTCATACGGTTGACTCTCAAAAACAATGAGAAATTTACCAAGTTGGAAGAAAGAAAACCCGTTCGGTTGCAATAAGAGAACAGATTAAAAAGAATTCTACATGTACGTGTTTTTTTCCAGCCTCACCTTTACCAAAAAAAAGAACGAAAAAATGTATATATAAGGGAAAAATTCATTTTTTCTCTTTAATGGCTTACTCACACTCCCAAGAATCAACAGCAACTACATCATCGAGCAGCAGCGGTTACTTTAGTCATCACAGTCACAGTAACACACCAACAACCGCACCACCAAATCCTCGTTATGCCTGCTACTGGCTTGACTCCTGTCGAGGTGATCATGAGCTCAATCAATGTACTCACTGGCGTAATGAGCTTCGTGGTAAACTCGGTATTTACTATTCACCATCTGGAATATATAAACGTTTTTCAGAGGATCGAATTAGTGGTGTTAAACTACAATTTAATCCAACTGGTTGTACAACAGTTCATCTTCTGGTGTTCAATGACAACAGAGATATTCTATTTGGAATGAAATGGTGTCATGAAAAACATGATGATGACGATGATCGACGTCTACTCCTCACATTTCCCTCAGCTAAGCCACGTAAACAAGGTGAATATGGTCTACCAATTGCTCAACGTGCATTTCAATGGTTAAGTGAAGATAACAAACTCTCAGAAGGACTGAAAAAACGCTTTCTCTATCAACATGCAAATGTAATCTATCCCTGTCATCTAACGAATGATCAAGCAACGTCTCTAACAAAGACTTTTACGACAAATGAAGAACTTCTGTCATTACATTGGTTTCCATTGACAAAAGTACTGGAAAACCTACCAGTTTGGAACAACTATCTCTTAAGTAAAGAAAAACCGAATGAATTGGCACAAATCGATGGTATACAACCGATGGAAGTTAAATTAGGAGAAGAGTGTAGGCTGTGGTCGGTTATAACGAGAAGTCTAATGTGTATTAGAGAACATGTACCGGGAGGATTTGAAGAGTTTTTGAAAGTTTAGCTTTTCTTTGCTTTAATAAACCTTTAATTTTTACAGCAGCTTCATTTTCAAGGAGTGTTACAGTCCTTGAAAATGGAAACATAAATTTTCGAAACGTCGGAATAAATAAATATTCAAATGACTTTATATAAAGCCGCTGTAAAAATCTTACTTTTACTTAGCCAATAATCCTTCTAGCTAGTCTAAAAACTCTGACTTACTGGAACGCCGGCTTAAAAAGTGACACTAGAATGATTTTAGCAAAAAAACTTCAAAACGTTTTCATCAACGTGTCATGTCAAATAAGAGATAAGTACTTTTTTCTTCGTACTAACTTTATTTATTTCAAACATTTAGATTGATCAAAATAAAAAAGGGAAAAATATACCTATGTTAAAGCTTTCTGTTCAAATTGTTTTGTTTTTATGTAATTTTAATTAATTTAGTTAATATTTGTATCCACTGAGGAAGATTGAACTATCAATCGAAACGTCTGGAATAAATAAAGTTAGTACAAAGAAAAAGTATTTATTTAGAATATTAAAAAATCTGATCTAACTTCGTATTCATATCGACTTTTCAAAAATGAAGAAAACTAATTCTTTTCCTGAATCTAAGTAAGACTGATAACCAATGCGATGATTGTATTTTTCCGTCGATTATAACAAGTTGCTCTCAGTATTTTCTCTTAACGTATTTTATTACACAAGACCATTTTACGCTAATCGACTCTCCTCAATAAAATTCCTGGAAAATCCCGTTACGGAGTCCCTAAGGATTTTCTTGGAGAGACTAGGGTTGACCCATCAGAACTTTTAGCATCATGGAGCCTTTACTTATGAATGACTGCAAGAATGAATGCTAGATCAAGATATTCTGAAACTTCGAACTTCAACTTCTACAACCAGTGGCTATTTTCTGTTAGTTTCAAGTTAAGTTGTACACAAAAAGTCTAATGAATTATTACCGTAGGTATGGCGCTAGCGTGCAGTAAAAATACTGGTAGACACGTGCGATATCTAATGACCACATTCTGTTATTGCTGAGGCGATGATTAGTATTTCTGTTGGTTATCTTCGTGCACTTCGATGACGAGTCTTCTTCTCTCTTTGTTCATGTTCAACTTTCTATTATCATTGTTTGTTTGCTTGTTATACATAATATAATAGCCGACAGTCATCAAAAATAGCCGTCCATTAACGGCTGGAAGATAATGTCGAAAAAACTTGCCGTTAATTTTGAAATAAAATGACAGTATAGCAGTCAGTATTAATTTAATTTAAATGTTTTATGAGGCAAAGATACTCTTCTGATAAAAATGGGTGAACTGTGTTATAAATGATAAATTTTGAGCGTAAATTTAACAGCAAAAAAGCAGCGCCATCTCAAGTTCAGTTTCTCAAAAATTGTGAAGAAGCACAGTTATTTTTCCGTTTTCTTTTCTTAAAATTAGCCAACGATCAGCGTTACTTGACGCTATAGTTGGAAAATGTTTGTTCATTCATTTATCTTATTTTTATCTTTTTTTTCTGCACTAAAAAGTTCATTAGTTTAGTTTCGGTTTTAATTTGGTTATGTGAACACTAGAAACGATTCTCAGTTAGTCAACATTTGTTTCTCTGAATGATAAAGTAATTTCATAAAAACTTTGATCAATGCTTTGAGAACTAGAAAGAACGTGCTTTAAAGAATAGAATCTCTTTTTGGTTCATACAAACAGATCAGGTTTAAACAGATAGTAATTATTGCTTTTAAATTTCGTATCAATTACCAATTTTGATTTTCGTACGGCAGACGATTTATTTGAACTCCTAAGAAGCTGTGGAAGGGATGGAAAAGATTTTTGAAGCTTTACACCCGTCGAATTTTGTTAGGAAGCATTCTGCCCCTAGTTTAATCTAAAACTTATATTCTGAAAACAGTAGCAAAACGCATAGTCCAACAGGTCTTTGGTGAAGAAAAATATGAAGTACCAGCCTGATTTGCATTATGTTGTTCCTCATTCTACGTTTTACTGATCTTCATGTATTTGCCTCAACATTAAGAATAAGTTTCCCTACTGTAAGTTCAAAAAACGAATATATTTTTTGCTGTTTAATGAAGTTTATTTATGTGTAACTATTTTATTGAAGGATAAAATAACGTTTTACTTTGACGAATCTCATTATTCTAAAAGAGAAAAAATATCAAGTTAAGTCCGTTCTTTATAGTTGTATGTTCTGTATAGTTTGAATTTGAGAGATTTTTTTGTTCGCCTATGTTTTACTTTATGAACAGCTGATAAGTGTTGTTTTTTTTTTGCCACCCCCTCAAACATGTTTTTTCTTTATCCTTTGAGCAATTTGACATTATAAAAATTTAGTCTGGTTAGTACATCTGAAGAACAAGCGGTCCAGTTTCTTGTTCTTTCTTTTCTGTTTCTTTGTTGAACAATTGCAACATTATTTTCACAACGAAAGTCAAGTAAAGTCTGTAAAAATGCCGTATGTTCAATGTTTGTGTCTTGTCTATGTGACTGACGGCAATATGAGCATATATTTTTATTCCATTGTTTTTATATACGTGATGCGCTTCATCAAGTTATTCTTGTTGTTATTTCTATTGTTCAGACACATTGAGAATGTTGAACAAGTTTCTATTTTAAAAATCTCTATTAAATTAAAGTTAAATGTTATATTGTTTCCAAATAGTTTTTGTGATGCGAAAAAGAGTACACATAGAATTGTCTACACAGTTTTCTTACACATTTCAAGGAGAAAGAATAGAATTGATATGACGGTTCAGTTTTCATAATAACAAATTTTTAAACGTATGTTTACCTCTCCTCCTTTATCGATAAAAAATTTTTTTTGTATAGTATAATGCGTTAGTTGAAATAAAATGTTGTTTGTTTCTTAATGGATAATATTTACACTTGGCTTTATGATTACGAATCATATGTATATATTCGCTTAGTCTTTAAAACATCAATTTTCTTTATTTTTCTTTTTTCGTGTGTGTGACTGTTTGTGTATTATATTTCCAAAAAATGAGACAGATACAATAATTCAAAATTTTGATGTCTCGACGTTATGTTCGTATGTTATAATGATATCAAATATATATAAAATACTCGTTCGAGTACGTGCCTAATATTATAGTCAAATATGGATTGATTAGTTGTCCTTAACATCAAACGACATGAGGAATTTTTTATTTATAGTCTTTAACTGAAGGGTATACAATCATATACTATGTGAAAGAAATGGTATCAGAGCTAATCTACAGTGAGAATATTTTTTCTATGAATATTACAAAATAGTCAAAAATAAAATGCATTTATTCCATTTCCTCTACTTTAATTTTCAACAAATGAGTTTTAACACGTTAAATGTCGTTTTTAACAAATTTCATGGTTACATTTCGTTTTTAAGTGGTTTCATGAGAATACGTAGAAATAGTTATTACTATTACTCTGGTTAATATAAGTAGATGTATTCTGTTTTATAAATTTATAAAAAAAAGATTGTAAATGAAAATTTTTTCTTCGATTGATTTTTGAGCACGTTTGTTTGAAAAAAAAGAAGGGATAAATGAAAAGGTTCATGATCGATATAAATAAATATACACACATCTTTTGACTTCTGCCTATTACTAGTAGTCACGATAATTCTTTTGATAAGAATATTACTTTCAAATAGGATTTTGTCTGTGATACAAGTAGCATATAAAAACACTTTCTATCCTATCTTTGATACCTCGACGTTCTTAAAGGTGAACATTCTTTTGTATAATAGATCGACTCAAAAAAAAAGTCAATTAGTAGAGAAGTATATACATATATATATATCTGTGTATTCACACAACTATTTTCTTTCTCTCATTTGACTATAGATGTGTCAGTGCTCTTTTATTCTAAGGGTGAATGACCGTCTGTATATATTTTAGTTTAGTAGTTATCATCATATTCATAGTACTCACACATACAGAGACTAATATCATCTTTCATATAAATCTATCGTAGTGTGTTGTAAAAAAACATCGGTTTTTTTTTCCCTTTGTGAAGACGACTAAACAACTACGAGGTGTGTGTGTCAAATGGCGGAAATAGTATGATACAATAGAACTGCTGTTCCCTTTTCTTTTGTCTTTTATTCTCTTTTTCTCGCCACTATTGTAAATGTACATCGTTGGTCTATGTTTATGTAAAGCATCTTTTGTACATCCAATCTAATAGATGATGGGTTTAAATAAAATTTAATTTTAGATAAATTTATCTCTCTTGCATACAATAATAATGACAACAACATTGGGTTATCAACATCATCATCTCTATGACTTCCTCGAACAAATAGAACTTCAAGCATATTTTGACATGATCGTGAAACAACTGAAGGTAAGAATTATGCTCAAGTATATTCATAATTTTCTAGTATGACATATCATGGACACAAACACAAAGAAGATAAAGTTAAAAAAAACCTGAAGACGATTTGCATAAGATTAGAGAGATAAGGCAGGATTTTGTAAATTTTTTTTTTTGTCACAAACATAAATCATATATTTTGTTAGATGAACATTTTATACGGTTTAAAACAATGAGATTAATTTTGATATAAAAAATTACTATCTAAACAAAATAATATATAAAATAGCTAATTTTTTATTATTTGATACGATGTCGTCATGGTTAAAGTGTTATAATAACAATGATATTGTTCCGATTCGAAATGTAAAATAAAATTTAATTTAATTTTACGCTAGAAGCCATTCTCTTTTCTCTCTCTCTCTCGCTTATAATTTGCTTTTAATCTGATAATATACACACCATTTTTGAAACGTCAAATCGATAAGAGAATATTTTAGATCAAAATTTTTGTTATGGATATAAAGTACGGATGATTCAAGCAATAAGCGTTCCTGTTTTTTCTTTTTTCGAAATACAAAAAAAACATGCTTATCTCGAACTAATTAGAATGTAGCTAAAATATCGTGTTGATTTAAATTAGCATATGTTCGAATCTAAAACAAAAATATGATAGCCTGAGTAACTTTTTTTTTCTCGATGATTATCTGAGTTGATAGAATATAGATCCCTTGGAGATATTTATGTTAGCAATTGCATGTTCATTAAAAAATATAGAAGAGAGATACCAAGAAAAAAAAAAGAGAGACGTTTTTTACAGATTAGTAAATAAAACGTTGATCTAATTAGTAAGTAATCTTTCAAACATCCATTTTTCTCTTCTCTTTCTCTCTATTCAATTAAATAACACATGTCACTTTGTTTATAAAGTTATTTGAACTGACAATTATTTTTTTCTTCTATGGATTCATCCATTTTCTCTAAGTGCAGTCATCACTTAAACATACCACATAGAACATTGTTCTTTCTCTCTCTCTCTGTTGGGACGGATTAGTCTCTCATTTTCTTCTTATATATTATTTGCATCTAAAGGGAACTATGAATGGAAAAGGATCTCATATCGTTATTACTATAATAGCTAATAAATTGCACACATAAACACACACACTTTTTCATTAGCACCACCACCTTGACCTTGATGGTAGTTGAATCTTATTAAATGAGAAGGAAATGCAAATGAAGTTTGTTTTCTTATCCATAAATAGCATTCTAAACGTATGATATAACAAAACAGATTGTGCAAGTAGTAATAACATTTGAAATGTAAACAGATGTAGGGTGTGGTGAACAGGAAAAAGAACAGCATATTCTGTGTGCAACTCGTTTATTCTAATGTGTTCGTGTGTAAGTGACAACTAATCGACAGTAATAAAATTAAAAACCTATTCATCATTTGATCATCAGTATGTGAGATTGTTGTATAATAAGTAAGAACAACCAACACTATGTCCTCCATTTCTTTCATTCTCTTTTTCCCACAGTGTATAATTAATAGAAAATCACTAACAGTGATTTGAAAAAGTCTATCCAATGATTCCTAGAAAAAATTATTTAATCTAATATGGTAGAATTTGTTGCTAGTTTTACATAAGTCAATAGTACGAGAGTTCTTAATTAGTGATAATTCAAGGCAGTATTCTCGTTTCTCTACTTTATGTTAAATGATCTGGAACCATACACATGTTATTACTTTATTTCAATTTTTCATATTATTTTTCTTGATATTGAATTTGACATTGGATAAAAAAATATGATCAAACCCATAATTGAACTATTCATTCAAATCTTTTTTTCTTTTCTTTTTATATGATTTAATTTGATAATAAAATCTATTTCTGAGTCTTTTATGCTTCTTTTGTTACTCTCTATTTTAGGTTTATAGTGTAACAGATTTAAAATATGTTGAAGAAAATGATTTTCTTCAAATTGGTCTTTCAAAACCACAATTTAGAAAAATGAAACGACATTTAGTACATGAAAAAAATGGGAGTAGCGGCGGTAGAGCATTTTCGACATTAGGCAAATTAGCTAAAGTAAGTTGTTTTATTCATTTTGATACAAAAAAAACACATACAACATTTTTCTTTCTCCTCTTTTCCTTTTTATGTATAATTGATAGAAGGAAAAGAACATATTGAACTCTATATTCTGTTGTACATTAGCAAAAAAAAGAAATTGAAAGAACGATGAGAATATTCTCATGTGTAGATGATTTTTGACTACTGGTTTTGTTTTTTTCTTCTCTAAAACTGATTGTTCACTTGTTAACGGTACTGTGGTCGTTCTCTTTTCTACTTTACTGTTATCTACGATAAAAAAAATCTCATCTCTGAGTTGCCGTCATTATTATCTTTTTCCTTTTCAAAAAGAGATTCAAACTCATTTTTTTTCTTCTCTCCATTCTTGCTCTATGCTCAGCGGTCAAAATGCAAACAGGTGTTTAAAACTTTAAGTAGGCAATTGAATTTTGTGACCATCATATGGGATGGGTAAGTTTTCAAAGAGGAAATTTGAGTTGAAATAAATTGATGGCAATTATAAAAATTAGAAAAAAAAACCTTCATAATAGTTATTATAATCGTGTTATTAACAAATTGAACATTGTAATAGATTTTCTTCGTTTTTAGAAAATAACTCAGCGTTCAGATGGCTCGTTAATAACTCAGAGTACAACAAATTTGAACAGTAGTAATAATAATCATCACCATCATCATAATAATAATAATCATAATGGATTTTATGGAAATGGAAATGATTTCTCAAAAAATAAATTGAAACGTCAACAATCACTAATTGATGGTTCAATGGAATCGTCATCCTCGTCTTATAATTCGAAAAATATTATATCACCAAATCAAATACAAATAATTGAACAAATTGGTGAAGGTGAATTTGGTACGGTATCAAAAGCATTTTGGAGAACAAAACAAAATGAATTGGTATGGATGATTTAACGTAGAAATTAAATTGAGTTAATTATTATTTACTTTTTCTTCGTTTTAGTTAACGGTTGCCGTTAAAAGTTTACATAAAGAAAACTTAGAACAATATGGTACTGATGAAGTGTTGAAAGAAGTGTCAATAATACAGGATATTGAACATAAGAATATTGTGCAATTTTTTGGCATTGTTATTACGCATGATGGAAAATTTATGCTGGTAAAAAAATCGTTCAATATTTTAACTCTTATGATTCTGTTCTAAAAGATAGTAAATGATAGTCTATAACGTTGTTTTTGTTATAGGTCACTGAATATGCTCCATCTCGTTCATTATACGAATGTTTAATTTCATCCAACGCTAAAATCGATTATCCTGTTCAAATGTTACTCGATTACTCCAAACAAATTGTCTCGGCAATGACTTATTTAGAAAAGAATAATTTTATTCATCGTGATTTAGCGTGTCGAAATTTTCTTGTATTTAATAAAACACTTGTTAAACTTAGTGATTTTGGTTTATGTCGATTATGTCGAGCAGAAAAAGATTATTATAAAACATATTATAAAGATACGTTACGTTTACCAATTGCTTGGATGTCACCAGAAGCAATTAATTTTTTAAAATTTACAACATCAAGTGATGTTTTTTCATTTGGAGTATGTCTATGGGAAATGTTTTCCTATGGAAAAGTACCATGGACAGGGATGACAAGTGCCGAAGTATATATTGTGAATTTTTCTATTATATCATTAAATTTATTATCTACGATTTATTTTAGATTGTGAACGCAATTGATACACCGAATCATCAACGATTAGCTCGACCTTCATATTCTACACCAGAAATTTATGATGTTATGTTGGCATGTTGGCGATATGAGCCAGAAAAACGACCAACTTTTTTACAATTACAAAAAACTCTTTCAGATGTAAGTAGACAAAATAATTTTTGTTTAAGAATATATTGTCGTCTACAATTATTTTTTATATTGTTTTTCTTTTCTAATTAGATCGATTTCAAACAAGTTCGATGGAAAGAGAAGAAAAAATATACTGGAACATTACCAAATGATTTTTTATCATATGAGTGCAGTAGTACCGGTCCACTCACAATCATTGATCGATGGTAGGTACCATTTCTACTATCTCACTTATTCGGATGATTTTCCAAAAGAAAAAAAAAGGAATAATATTTTAATAAAGGCTTACTGTCATGACGAAATATCAATTCATTAAACTTATTAACGGTTTTTGAGTATTTAATGTTTCATTTTAGCTGAGAGTATGATACTTGGAAGGAAAAACAAAAATGACTTAAGTAGGTGTAAATCATTATTAACCTTTTTATTCGAGTAAATCCCTCAGAGAGTGAATACCAAATGTAAACCGTCAAATGATTTGAATTCAAACTCTGTTGTTGTTATTTTTTGTTGAAAGAGACTAATGAATTAAATAGGAAATTTGTTGCACGTAATCACCATTTGTTCTCGTTTTTTTTTCTCCGAAAATTATACCTTTTAAACACAAATTTCTCTTCCGTTTTTTCTTTTTTTTTGTTTGTGTATCGTTTTTGTTATCGCTACCTTCATTCGAAAAATTTGGCATGTATACGCATATATTACTAATAAGACGAAAATTGAAACGAAAAATGTAAAAAAAGAAAAGAAAAAAATGAAGTCGGAACAAAATTAATTTGTGGTATAGAATGTTACATAAAAATATACGTTCTGTTTCTTTCCTCTGTTGAACAGACACCCTAGTGTCAGTAGCATACACAATATTTTTATTATATATACATCTATGTAAATTTTTTTATATCGTTCGATTGAATAGAGATATGTATGTATATATACGTACATGTTTGTATCCCATCCTTGAGTAGGAAAAAAAAGAACGAACTGTAGTAGTGTCTGTCGTCATTTGACCTAATCTTTGATGAGTTTCAAAAATTGTTTTTAATCAACACATATATATATATATTGTTAAATTATTCGAATAATTGTACGTCCGTATGTTGTGATCAAATTTCGAGAAAAAAAGTAACAACAACGAGAAAAAAAAAAGAATTAGCAGGTGTACACATCACCGTCATTATTGTTATAATTATCATAGCTACTACATTTTTTTATTTTATTTATTGGTTCAATCTACGCAATTATTGTTTCGTATGTCTTACACAAAATACTTGTCACGCTCGTTCACATTAAGTTTATGTGATAGAAGAAATAGAAGAAATTCATTTTTTACATCACTTTTTTTCTTATCGTTTTACAGTCTAATATTCGCAACAACTTTTAATAATTAATTGAATTGTTTCAACCTTTTTTTTTAGTTTAACAGTACCATTGTCTTCGACGGTTACAACATTTACTGATAATACAACGAATAATTTTATACAATGTGTAACATCAAATGGGCAAATTGGCTATATTTATAGTGATTACGTTGAACCTGTGCATGTTATTCAACTAATTCGGCAACCATCATCTTCTTCAGTGTCAACTACGATGAACGGATTTTTTAAAAAAACAACAGGTATGGAGAAACAAATTAACATAGGTCCCTATTAACTTTTCTTTTTGTACTTAGATACAAAAAAGAGTTCAGCAAAAAAATGCAAACAAATTTCAAAAGAAATGATTGGATTACCACAAGCAGACTTTATACACGCGTTTCACATTGGAGTCTCAGGTTAGTTTTACGGTCCTAATTTGATGTATCTGAGAACTGTATCTTCTACATGTTTATTTCCTTGAAGATAACGCCTTAGAACACTGAAGTAAACAACTTCTGTTTCTATCTGAAATCAGAGAGGGAATTTTGGTGAACATCATAGGTGTTTTCACCAACAAAAATGCTAACCTGGATGTAAATAGCAGAGAATTCTAGAAACATAGACTGTATTGTATTTTAGGCGATACTTTCGGTGATGTAGCTTGCTTGGGTGGCGCAAATACAGAAATTATGAAAACAACGGTTGTTAAAAAACCCTCGCCACCTTCAACAATGATTAATGGTATAAAGCGTTTTTTTTTGTTGAGAATATTCTCCCCTACAGTAGCAACCATGTTTTTTCTTTCATAATTAGGATTAGCATCCAACGTTGTAACGACATGCTCGGCTCTTAAGTCACCTTCACCTGATTATTACAAACAACCATCATCTACAGTACGTATCATGTAGTTGAAGATATTCCCCTGCCTTCACTTATTTAGTATTTCTATTAGATAAGTCAAACACTTAGTTCCAGTATTAGTAACACTAACGAAGCATCAAATGAATCACAAGAAGTAAAGAAGGAAATGGTATATTGATTCCCCTTGATCTGATTCATTGAAAATGTAATAGGTCTTCACGTTTAGATTGTCGGCAAATCACCATCAAATGCTCAATCATTACTTGATGAAGTTATGCAAGCATTCAGTGAAATTTACGTCGATGATACCAAGAAAACTGATTCAATCGCGAACGATGAAACAGTACTCGAACGGACAGCTGATATTAATAGTAGTAGTAATAATCATGTTGGGACAAATGGACTTTCTCATCGACCACCAGCCAAATTATTTCGAACCGAGCAACAACAGGATCAAACGACATATAATGTAACTATTTTCTATCAACTTTTACTTGAAAAATGTTTTTTATTTTCTTTTATTATTTAGTTTCAACTTGGCCACATTTCTCCAGCAGAATCGATTCATACCACTGACAATGGTTTGTTAATTTCTGCTCAAGTATAGTAAGAATCTTTTATTATTGTTTTGTTTATATATTTAGATCCAAACAGTCGGTCACCATCGACACTTTCAAAACTTTTACCAAAGTTAACATTAAAAAAATCCAACGATTCATCATGTCGATTTTCTCGTGAACTGGAGCAACGTTTACAGAATGGTTAGTTACTATCTATGAACAGTAGTAATCCCATTTTAATTTTCTGTTTACTTTTACAGGCGATGAATTAGTTGTCAGTGAAGAGGCCAAAAATGCATACGATCTACTTATCAATGGTTGTCGATCTGCATCACCAACAAGTCCCACACATTCTCATATCCCAGATTCATCAACACCACTTTTTCTACGTTCACGCTGCACTAGTGGTGATTTGGAACATCACCAACAATTACAGCAGCAAGGACCAACATCGGATATTCAACAAGAAATTCTTCCGCATCAATCGACATCAATTTTATTCGGTTCCTCCTCGTCTTCATCGAATATATCTTTATCTACAACAAGTTCATCTCGTTTACAAAATAATTCAAAAAATTTATCGTCTGTATCTAATTCATCATCATCTTCAGCTAACGTTGCACCTATACGTAGTTATCATCACAACGATCGTAATTCGCATTATTCAGCCACATCAACAGACAACGACGTTAGTATTGATCTTCAAAATGGTGAACATCATACATCAACTCAACAGAGAAATGCAAATCATCCGTTATTTATAGCAACAGGAGGAGGAAATATTAAAAGTCCAACACAATTAACCGTTTCAACTGATACAAGAGATAATTGTTCAGCATCACCTCTCAGGTAAGAGTGAGTGAGATTTTTCAATAAGCTCAAATAAATATAAAATAATTTTATATTTAGACTTCTTCGATCCGGTGGTACTCCGTCGTTATTGCCTAAACCAATTCGACAACAACAACACCAACAACCATCATCTTCTTTATTACAAGCACAAACGTGTGTAACTGGAACTCAATTACTCACTCCATCATCATCAAACTCAAATACATTAGATAACTCACATAATCACAATGATTCAAATGGTATTTTAATCGAAGATAATCTATCACTTTCGAATTCTAGTACCAGTACACATTCGTTTTCATCGTCTCATATAAATCATCCAATGACAACTATTTCTGTTGTAAATAATATAGGACAACAATTACCACCTCCTCCTGATCTTTCCTCTCTTGGTAGTAAACTAACCACAGCTACAACATTGCACACACTTAAACTACCATTGCCAATCCCACAAACAACTTCAACCAATCATTATCGAACAAAAAGTGAGTTTTTGCATCTTGTTGTTTTTTGTCTGCAAATGAACAATAATATTTTCTCTATTTTTTTTAGAACGTTTTAATTTGTTTGCATCATAGTATTAAATGTCTTCCACATATTATTCTCCTAATGGTATTATGAAATATTGTCATTTGTGTTTTTTATAATCTCTATTCTTTCGTAATTTATATATGCTTCTTCTCGTTTTCACCTTCTCTAATGACAACTAGTCATCAAACGCGATTTAGGGATGCAGGAATTTTTCTTTTTTGTCTCTTATTTAAAAGGTGCCATTTTGGTTGCTTGTTGTTTGCTATTATCCGTCCTTTTTCTTCTGCTAGTAGAAAAACCATACTGACATTGTATTTCTTTAATGAACTTGAATACATCTATAGCTGTTTTAGCGGATAATGTTTATTTCCATTATCTTTCATAGAAATGTGGCAGTCAGATAGAGTGCAACGAATACCCAATTTGAGCCATTCTAAATATGAAAAGTATAATTATCTGGCACCTTTAGTTCGTCTAAGATCACATTCTCTTTATAAATTCATCTCATTTGTTTTTGTGACCAAAATATGTTTGAAATATTTTGTGTACGTGTGTTTGTATGTATTGTTAGTACTTTAATAACTACAACACTATTCATCTATTTTTTTTGTTAATATTTTTTTTTCTTTCTATTTTCTGACGAACAGTGTGCTGCAGCTTCTTCTTTTCTTTTTGTTGCTCATTCTAAATTTGCATCAATAGCCAATATGAATTTTCATTTGTCTTCTCATTTTTCTATATTGAAATAATCGAACATGAATGCTCATTTTTTGTTTTGTTTTTTACATTCAGATTGACTTACTCGTACAGAGTAAGATCTGAGATACATCATTCATATTTTTTTGTATGTTCAAACTTTTCTTTGCTTGAAAACTTTTTGAAATTTCTCAAGATAAATATGTTTTGAAAACGATGTTCTTCAAACAAAAATAGAATTTTCAACGAAATCCAGTCTAATTTTTAAGTAGATTAATAATGCTTGTAAAATTTGCTAAAATAAGACAACTTGAATCATCAAACTACACTAGAATAAACATTCGTACAAAAAATATGGCTTTAAATACAAATATAAGTCTATAATTTGTACCATCTTCTTTGAAATATTCATACGATAACTGTATATTAGAAATAAAAACCTTTTTTGAAATATTTGTTGTGCCATTTTCACTAACGTTTTTTGATGCAGAAAATTTTATTTGGTCTATGAAAGTTAAACATCGATGAAAACAAGTTGACTTACAGAATTAAGTGTTTTTAATTATGTCAATAACAGCGAAGAAGATACAAAAAAAAGAAAGTATATGCTCTTATTATGACAGATGTAGAATAACAAATGCTTGTAGTTTTAACATAATTGAGTTTGTAACTCACATAGACTAAGACTCGACAGATTAACAAAACGAACAAACGAAAAAAATCTTCGCACTTTCTAGTGCTAAGATTATCTATATGCCGATGTACAACCAGAAAAAAGAAATTAATGGGAAAGATTGACTTTCGAAACATTTTCATCTGATAGAATCTAATAGTTCGCAATAGAATAATTCATATTGGCAAAAATTTTTAAAAAAATCTTGGTAGATCTTGCGAGGATAAATCCTACGTTTCGTTTGTTAAAAGTTTGTGATTTTATCTCGGGAGATCTTTGAAAATAGAAAATTCGAATTTTTGTCGATGAATTTTGAGTGAAAAAGATCTGTTGAGATGAAAATCCTGTAAGATCTCGCGAGATTTATAAAAAAAATTCTCACATCATCTCGCGTACATTTTTCTCCTCGTCATACTTATATGATTTTCAGGAAACTGGTATGTGTGTTCCTGTTTTTAATTATCTCGAGTGCTACAGTGTTTTTATTTTAGAAGGCTAACATTTGGCAACTGTACCAACGCTAGCTTGTCATATCTAGATTAGAAGTATCATTTATATTGTTGATTATGAAATGACATTGCCTCGTGAGGATGAAATTACTTCATGTTTTTCCATATACCACTAAAGGAAATTAGAATAAAAGATCAAAAAAAGAAAAATTTCAGGAATATTTCAGAAGAATTTTTAAGAATTTTCTTCACTTTTGAACGACGTTAATTACAGACTTATGGTTTTCACTGGCCGACAGAAGAGAACTGGACGTGTCTTTTTACAAGAGACAGTAATTTTATAAAATCATTTGCTGATGTAAGACTTTAAGGAGACCTTCGTAAAGTCAAGGGTTTAAATTTCTAAAACTTGAGAAAATTCTTTTGGTTTGGTAGCCATGGATTGATAGCCTAAAGTGTCCTCTTCAAAACAGAAATCAAGTGATCCTTTGAGTTTTAATGAACGTGTTACCGAATTTCTTTAGAGTTTTCGAACTTACAGTAACCGTGAAATCGCATGGAAGTACATAATCGATTACACGGACTCCAGTGACAATGTTTATTTTTGAAAAAGAACTTCAAAGCAATCTCGAAACCGAATTTCATAAAACTAGAGTTTTCAAGCTGATTTGACCTCAGACTAAAAAGATATTACTCATTCAAAATACAGTACGATGTAATGTTGTCGGACACGTTAAATAATAAAGTTTGTCTTACTATTGGATGATACCATGATGACATTTGGTAAGATATGTGTAATTTATGTATCCGCACCGCAATTATATTACTCTCAACAAGGAAACGGATACTTGGTCTAGAAACCAAAATACCACTAATCTTTTTTTTCTTACAAATACTTCATCATTGAGTTTTAATATTGTTTTACTCATATTTTTGTTAAACATTATTAGAACTGTCAAAATTTATGTTTTTTTTATTTATTTGTACATCGTTAAGAGTATTTTATGCCCATACCAACCAATTCAAGTTTAGATCAAGAAATAATATTTCAAGAAATGTTTCTTTGTCACTAAAGTACAAATGGGGCTACTTTACCTATTTCTTTCTTCTGATGTAAGATAGAGAATTATATAATGCTGAATAGAATAGAGAAAGTTTATTTTAACAAGCAATAAGTATAATTTTAGGTGTACACGAAAAAAGAATACGTTTAAATGTACATTTAACAAAACTTTTTTTACACAATCATTCTTTCTTTTTAAGCTTTCTCGTCACTATTATGAATATAATCGCTTATTGGAACAAAATCTTGATCGATCGGTCTCTATCTCGCGATTTGATGTAGTGCTTTAGTTTAAGTTTAACTGAACAAACTGTATTTTTGAGAAATGTATAGAAAACTAAAACTTTAAAGTAATTAATGCATTAGGTGATGGAAATCATAGGAAGAAAAATGAAAGCGCAAAATGAGCAGTGAGTAATGGCTAGAATAATAGTAATAGATCAGAATTTTTTTTGCAAGCTTTTTTGCTTGCATATGATACTGATTATGTTGACTGTCAGTAAACTTTCTCAATACGACGAACGCAATTGAATCTAATATTATAATAAGATTTGGTTGACGTCGATCCTTCGATGGCATCATTGTGTTATGAATCATACAAGCTCATGTTTGATGCTTCTCAATCTACCTTCATTTAATTATCTATTGTACGCGTATGAGTCATACGATAGAAAAATCGACTGTCCAAAATATCTCAACAATTACAGATCACTTAAATCTTTGTCTGTTGAAAGGACATATCTACACAATATATTGAACGTAAAATGTGAAGGAACCACATTGATCGGATGAACCATTGATAGAAAAATGTGCGTGTCAAAGTTTATTCTTGGCTCATTTTTAAAAGATCGAATATACTAAAAGCTTAACCTAGCCTCGAGCTAGCTGCGAGACGAGGTAAAAAATAATTGCATTGTACACTATTTTCTAAAAGTTGATTTAGGAACGTTTTGAAGATAACTTGTTTTCTATAATTTAATAGAATTGATTATGTAGCAGTTGAATGTTCGAACACAACATCATCGCATAAAATTCATATGAATTATAATTTTATAATAATACCTAAAAGGACGATAGTGGTGCTTTTCGTTCCAATAATTCAAATAATTTCTTAAATTGTGAAGTTTTTTTTATTTTAGTCCAATATTCAATATATGTATGCATTTTTTCAACGTCATTTCTGACAGAATTCAATGGCACAGCCAACGAGTGAATCTAGTAAACCTGAGTACACACTTGCAGAGAAAATTCTTCGCCTTGGAAAGGCATGAATAAGAATACAAACTGTTTAAAAAATCGTTGATTCACTCTGCGTACTTTTTCTTAGTAGAAATCTTGAGGTGTAGTGGGGTGATTTCGTCAAAGTTTTTTTTTTTTTTTTGTTAAACTTTTTATCACCACCCCATCAGTTTTTAAGATCATGGACTAAATAAATTTGACTTGACTTGAGTTCAGAAACAGATCTTTGAAGGCATAACTAATAGCTGTCCTGTTAGTGGATTTGAAAAATTAGAGACTACATTACTTTAGAATACATTAGATAATGACATAATTATTTATTAAGAAATGACTAGAGATAATACGAAAAGAGTAAATTCGAGTCGTTTAGTACTGCATCTGGTACTGAATATCAAGTATATCTCCTATTAGATTTATTCGTTCACTCAAAACAATCTTGAAGGAAGTTCTACATCCGTTGTCAACATACTTAAGTACTCACCACTCGTTTGTGTGTTTAAATGTTAATAAGTTCTGTATTGATATATCTCAGTGTATGTATAAGTGATTCTGTTAAAAATAGTACTGTTCGAATGACCTTAATGGTCCTACGCGTTTTTCCTCTTAGACCTAATGAAACAATTTCTCCCATATACTCATCAATGCTAAACCTATAATCACTGCAAATATAGCTTTTCTATCTTTAACTACTAACGAGTTAGAAGCAACACATTTGTATCTGACCGTTATTTTGTTGTTGGTTAAAAAACAATGTTTCTGTCACTTTTGCTACCGTGCAATTCACGTTTAACCGACAATTTGTCCCATAACCATCCACTCCATCACATCTCAACCGAGCATGATAGAAAGTTTCTTTTTTATCTTAAGTGTAGTCTAACCAAACGATGATCCCGTAAAAATGACAAAGACTGAAATTGCTTTATAAGGGAGTAAACTAGAAAATACCAAGAACTAGAAAAATTATTTCGATCGCAATTAAACATTGATACGTTTTACAAGTGTATACTACTACAAAACCTATGAAATAGAGAAGAAAAATGAGATTGATTTTGAACTTGTAACTCCCCTACAAAAAAATATTTTATCGGCACTGGTTGTGCACGGGTGCGCACCGATGCCGAAGTTTTGTTTTCAATCACCATTTTGTTTTGTCAATTTCTGTCTATATTAACGCTACAGTCTACTTCTAATATTTCGAATGTCTTTCTGATTTCATCTTTTCCTTCTCATAAGAGAAGTGCCGAGGCAATGCCGCATAGTTTTGGCATGTCGATGTGGTACTGATCAGTGTCGCACTCTAATACAAAATTCAGCATAAACAACGATAATAAAGAACTAATTAAATTGATTAAATAAATTATCAGTGCGGCACCCATACAGCACTGGTTCGGCACTTGCTGGGCACGAGTGCCAGCCAGTGCCAGTGACCAATGGCATGCCATACGCACCGGTGCGCACTGATTTTTACCAGTGCCGCACTGGAATTTCTTTTATAAGGTCATTCTTAGATTCCATAATATTTTTTAAAAAAGCTTTTAACATATGGTTCTGTATCCAAAATGATTAGCGAAAAAGTCAATTTAGAGGGAAGATGGTATCGATGGTATTTTTATAAACTATTAATATACGATTTAAATTATTTACTTGGAATTATTAGAAATAGAAGGCTAGTAAGAGATCGTCGTGTAAAAAACTGTTTTGAAACATCTTGGAAAAATCTAGTTTATCCTGAGAAATATGGATTCTGACAGTTAGCACTGCGGGCTATCTGATCGCACACTTATCTCTATATTAACTTTTTATCGACAGTTCGTCTGTCCGACCTGAAAGGGGTCTAAATTTGATTCTGAATGACGTTCAACTCATTGGATTTCATTCGTTCAATTTCTTTTAGCATTATTAGTTTTTCTATATTTTTATTAATAAGATATATTATCTCGTTCTATAATTTTTAGAAGAAAACGGGTGTCATCAAAAGAAGGAGTTATGATAAATGTAACCAAATCGGGAGGGCTTATAACAAATAAATTTTTCACAATTTGGGTTCTAAACACCAACAGCGTTACAATATAGATTTTTCAACACTACAATTTTACTCTGACTAGTCAAGCATTGTCAGTCATGGCCAAATAATTAATGTTACGTTGAAGAATGAATCAAGTTTATTTAACATAATAACAATAGCAATTCAAGATATTACATAAAACAAAAGAACAGAGTAAGTCCAAATATACATGTCGAAAACAGAGAAGAAAATGTCACAGAAGTTGTTCGTCTATTGATAATATAATTCTAAATTCATTCCATCATGAATCTCATAATCAGCTAGAGATATTTGATCTTTGAAAATTGTATACCATTTTTTTAAGATAATTTTTTCTGCTTTTGTTCCCGTTTGAGCGGCAATTAATTTTTTCAAATCACCAATTGTATCTTCAGAATTACATTTAACACGAACTTTCTTACCCAAACGATCGTTACATATGACTTCAATCATATTTTTATAAATACAGTAAACAAATAGACAATAAGAATGATCTAAAACATGCAGATATTGCAGAGATCAAAAGAATAAGTACAGAATGTATAAAAGAATATGCACGAGAACAAGGTAAAAATCCATCGTTTCCACTTCTAGTCTCACCAAAAATCTTGGATTCATTTCTGCAATCTGGTAAGAACTGAAATTATGGAGAAACTTTTCACTTTGTTCTAAAATGCGACGTGGACAAAGTGAATTCATTACAAATTTTTGTCTAATAGCCGTCAGAAGACTATTCTCATACTGAGACCTGTGCCAACTCTGTGTATCAAGTCAATTCAGTTTTTCTTAAATTCAAAATTTATACCCTTTACTATTTTATCAAAGTAAAATAGCAGACATCTAACGCATTCTAACATAAAAGGATAAAATTCAAAATTTGTATTAAAAAATACAGATGATTCCTGTTTTTTTCTTATTTATCCAAGCGCACAGCTAGTTGAAGTTAAAAGTACTCTATGAAAGATGGGAGTGAGAACACTCACAAAGGATAATATACAACTATTTTCGATAAAAAAGTGAAATGTGCCGTCGTAAAAAGCATGACGGGCAATTGTAGCGTTATTTAAATGGTATTCGTTCACCACAATGAAAAGAAATAACTACATTCTCAATCAAACATGAATACAGAAATCAATACTACTCTGTAGTACTTTCACAGTTCTAAAAGAGCCGAAAATAAATTTCTCCTTTCCTTGAAAAGCACAATCTCCATTCATTTTCTCCGATATGCATAGCATAACCATTTTGAACAACAATCATCGGGAGAAATCCATTCAATATATTCGTCTTGATGACAACAATGGATTGCTTGTACTTGAGTTAGATAATGTAGGAGTACTACTACAATTTGCGTACTCAATGGCTCTACATTTCGATTTCGTCGACACAATTGTAGATTGTAAAATTGAGTAATATGCATTTGTCGTTCGTATTTTTCTCTTTTCTGTTTAACTGAATTTGTCTTTGTTGTAGATAGAAGTAAGACCTTACATTCCTATTTTCTGGTCCAGAATGCCCGGAGTAAACAAATTATTGATCAAATATTGATAGTTTAGAGTAATCTTGCTAACATACGTCATACCATAATTAAGAATTATAAATTTGTCAGAATTAAAAATTGTCAATAAATTTGTGAATTGATTCAAATGATTGTTGTTCAAAGTGGTTACGCAAGGCATATTGAAGTAAATGAGAGTTCAATTTCATTGTTTTGTGGAGATTGTGCCTAAACAAGGAAAGAAGAACAATTTGACACGGAAACAAATGTTAATAATTCCTGCTAACCAAACTGTGCCAGTGTTAGTAAATGAGATGTCTCATACTGCGAAAGTAAAACGCATTAAATACACCAAGAGAAAGCATAGAAAGGTGAAAAATTCTCTTCTCAGGATCGAAAACAGTGGAAATCAGATTTTATTGATGAAAACTCCACTTTGCTTTCAACCACTAATCAATAGATACACTGCTTGCAACAATCGGAAAAGACTGACTGGTTATCTTGGAGAATTCAACGTATAGTGTTGAGTAAACACGTATCTTAAAGCAAACTAACATTTTTTCGATAGCAAGCATTGGAATCACCCCATGTTGTACATAGAAAATAAATAATTATATCAGTATAGAAGAAAAAGCATTTCTAATAAGAATGTGCACGTATGCTTTGTTGAGGAATGCAAAATAGACAAAGTTAAAAATTTGAGTACGAAATATAAAATCAAGAAAAATTTCATCCTCACTTCCCCTGATAAAACCAATTCGTACACATAAAGAGTAAAACGCTATTGGAAAAAAAGAAGAACAATAAGATTTTCATTATAAAATATTGGGTTTTAACAGTTACAAAAGTTTTTATATAAAATGAGAAAACATTTTATCATTTTAATAGAATTATTTTTTTATAGCGTGTTCAGCCTACTCTCTTTTTTCTAGTATTGCTCAAAACAGCGCATATATTCGATTTTAGTCCTACGCTTCTCGATTTTTACTCAATTTACACTCATACCGTGAAATCAGCACACTTTCGTATATGATATATTACACTCTTCATTGTATCATTATATTACAGATATTACAGAAATGCTGAAAAGAAATATGGAATTTAGTTAGGTATTTTCTGAAACTCCATGAAAGGCATGACTGTCAACGAATCAGATGGTTTTCAGAAATAAACACGATAATAGTTAAAATATTAAACTCTTTTTTTCATAATCAGAAGATAATAACAATTTAACTAAATTTCTTCTCTATAAGTTGAAATTTTGCTACTGTTTGTAGAAAGTGCATAAGTGTTCGTCCACCATTTCTCTCTTTCTGTTTTTCTCGAATGATTTCCACCTAAATGTAGAAAAAAAATGTCGTAGACCATATAAATAAATATAATAGTCTGTGTATTTTTTTCATTCAAGATTCATATGACTTGACTTGTACTAATATTTCTCGAGTTTAGTAATAATAAATATTAATGAAAGTAACAGAATGTCTATTTTGATAAAATAACAAAACGAATTATCCTTAGAATTGTTTCCGTATTTATTTATTTGCTTTATGAAGGGTTATTATTCTGTTATTAATGTATGAAAGATATTTTGAATAGAATCTTAAATAAAAAAACGATGGCAGTTAATTCAATTCCAAATTCAACAGTCGGTACACGTTTTACAGATGAATACGATTTAAAAGAAGAACTTGGAAAGTAAGTTATGTTTATCATTGTTCATAGGTCATCAGATTTTTTGTAGAAAAGCGAATTATCATTGATATCAGTTGATGTATAATAATAATTAATTTATGTTCTGAAATTTGAGCACCTATTGAAAAGATAGCTAGTTTATTTTTGTTTAAAAACGAATCATACATGCTTAGGTTTACACTTTATGTTTTTTTTAACCCAGTTTCAAATAAGTTATCAGCAAAATGTGAATCTTTTTTTTTTTTATGAGACGTTTTGGATTTTTAAGTTGGATGCACATAAATGTGTAGTGTATTTTTTGGTGACATTTATTTTAAGCAGCAGAATATTGATTGTTGTTTTTATTACAAAATGAAAACCGTTTTCTCATCTTCTAATTAGTTCTCACTGACGCTTGATTGAAAAATTTATTATTTACCCGTATAAATTTCTGGTCTTTTATCAGTTTTAAGCCGCCGGCAATTTTGGTTGTTAATTTTTGTCTCCTTTGGCGAAAACATTCTGACCTTTTTCACTTTTTATAAGCTTAATCTATCTGTCAATCATTTTACAGGGTCACATTGTTAGAAAAAAATTTTTTCACTATACCGAAGAGAATGATTTGTATGATGTAAATTATATTCTAAGAAAGTAAACGAAAACAAGTAGCTTATTATTTCAAAAATTTATTTCTATTCTAATTTTGAACGATATCAATATCTTTGTACTTGCAAGAGAAAATAACCATAAAGAAGTGGTGACTATACAATCAATAAATGAAAAAAAAATTTCAAAAATGTCTTGTTTACAGATGATTAGATAATTACTTAGTGGGTGTATGTGCAAAACACTTTAGTTTTCATGTCGAGATCCCTTTTTTATTCGAAAGAATACTCTTTTGAAAGTGATGAAGAAATTATCAATAATCTAGAACAGATGTTAGACGGATATGTTTCCGGTTTTCCTCTCACGATCTGCATCTTTTTTTCTATTTAACAAGTGCTGGATCAATATATTTAACACGTAAAAAAAATATTTTTTTTTTTTCAGAAAAGTTGAATTTTTAAGTGTCATATGGACAATCGTTTTGTTTAGTTGTGAGTAAAGAATAATTTTCTGATAGTCTATCTGATTTATTCTTTGTATTTTGCTACATGTCATTGAAATGAGAAGGATAACGACTATTGATTGACTGGAACAACAGCATCGGCTTTTGTCTCTCTTGGTTTTTTTTTTGTCTTGGCTATCATATATTTGTCGCGCTACGAAACTCGGTAATGAAAGTACAATAATTGCTTTCATCACTTGAGATTTTTGTTTTGAACACCACACGCGCGGACAAAAATAGAAATAAACGTAATATGTATGTGTGTACCATCCTGTTTATACTTAATCCAATCGTAATCATCCATCACCTAGAAGAAGATTTGATTGTTTCAAGTCTCATTATTCCATAGTAACTTATTTTGATATGTTGATCTTAGTACGTACGCATTATGAGTTTTCTAAGTCGACATTAGGTATACATCAGTTCTAGAACTGGTGTTCGGGCATCTGGGAAAACTTTTATTACTTGGTAATTAACAGTTGCTCAGAGCCGCGAAACATCTCATTTTATAGAGAAATGTTTGTTCTATCAACCTCACTAGTTCAAAAACTTTTAAAATTAACTATGTTGAAAATACGAGTATTGAAAAACACAGGAACTGTTGGGGAAAGAGTTCCACTATTTTAGTCAGAACATACTTTTGACACAATTAACCTTACTTTTTTTTGAATTAGCGAGTTTTTTTAGAGCAAACATTTCTCTATAAAATGAGATGTTCCACAACTCTGAGCAACTCTTAATTACCAAGTAATAAAAGTTTTCTCGGATGTCCAAATAATAGTTCTAGAACTGGTGTACACCTATGTTCACATGCGTACTGAGTGTACATAGTGAAATATGCATTAATGTTTCATTTTATCATCATCATCATCATCATCCAGTTCACTTCTTTTCCATATATTCTATTATTGCTGTTTGTTGCATACAATACTGCCGTGATGTGTGTGTGTGTGTGTAGCATAAAAGTATATTTTCCTTCTTTTTTTTATTCATTCATTTTCTCTTTCATGTTGATTAATCGTGTTTGCATGTTTCTTTCTCTACAGTTCAATACACATTTTCTGACCTCTCTTTGTCTTTTTTAGTAGTGTTCATATAGCTAAAACAAGTTTTTTACTTCTACTGCTGTGTTTTATATGATAAATTTTCATCTATATATATATATATATATATGTAGGAAAGTTTTCCATACATTATCATAATAGAGAGTAGAATAAAAGCAGAGAGAAAAGAAGAAAAGGAAAGTTGTAATAATCATCAGGAAAAGTTGTAGTATTTTTTTTTAAAGCAGTAGTAAGTTAATTTTCCATTAGAAGATATTGTAGTGATCAACAAGTGTTGGCTAGAGAGAGAGAATGTAACACAGGTCCGAATACTAGAAAGCTAAAAACATTTTTCATAGTAGTATAAAAAAAAATTTTTTTTCTTTCAAGAGCTTTCAAAGATCAAAAAAACAAAAAAAATTTAAAGACTTTTTCGATGATAGAAAAAGTCTTTGTTCGCGGGGGAAGAGGAGAAAATATCCCGTTCAAAGGAAACGCCTCTGTACAGAGGAAAGAAAGATTTGGTCGACCATGAACATTGTTTGTCACGTAACAATTTCGATTTTCTTTCTTCAGAGTGTTCAACATAATAAAATTCTCAAGTGGAAAAAAGAGAAAAAATTTCATAATGTATGTAATACGGAAATGAAAAACAAATGTTTTTTTCTTTGTAAAAAAACAAACAAACAATACTGTCCTATAGTTTGTCAACAGAAAAAAAAAAAAAAAATTTATTTGCTTTCTTTTTTTTATTCTTTTATTAAATACTCTATTTATGAAACATAGAACAATAAACTAGAGTTTAAGTAATAGATGAGAATCAATTAAATCAATCTAAAATTCTCTTAGATAAAATGCTTTTCATTTAATTGAAAAAGTTTAAGATTGACGTATAAAGATATGCATCATTGTGAATTCCATTGCGTACAAGCCCTGTTCTCTATTGACAATGAATGTTTTCCGATACATATAAACGAGATTAAATTTAGCTGGGGGTATCAATATAAATTTTTATTAAGAATTTTAGTAACAATTGAATTTGTTAATAGATTGATAAATGACTTAAAACTAAATTCAATTAAATATTTAAAAAGATTTAGAGTCATATTTTGTATTGTTACATTTGAATAAACCATTTTTGACTTGCTTTTTTATATTAAAAAATTGAAGTCTATGATTGTTTGTCTTCAAGCGGCACAGTATATCAATGATATTCATCTATAATGATTATAATTGTTTATTTCAATTTGCACGAAAGATAAATGCTATTTAACTACTATTTTAAATTGAAAATTAAATATTCTAAATGGATTCTTTTTTTTTTTTAACTGACAATATTAAAATATACTTTTTCCTTCTATCCATCTAAATAATTATCATATTTTTTCTAGAGGTGCATTTTCGATTGTTCGTCGATGTATACAAAAGAGTTCAAGCCTAGAATTTGCAGCAAAAATAATCAATACAAAAAAATTGTCAACTAGAGGTATGTAATTGGAGTTGTTTACTATTGTTTCTTTGCAAAAAAAATGTCTAATTTATTCGTCATCTTTCTGTTATAGATCATCAAAAACTTGAACGTGAAGCGAGAATATGTCGTCAATTAAAACATCCAAATATTGGTATGAAGAAATACAATTATAGTATTTTTCTTTTGTTCTAATCAATTTTTATTTATTATTTAGTGAGATTACATGACAGTATTCCAGAGGAAGCATTTCATTATCTTGTATTTGATCTGTAAGATTTCATTTTAACTTTTATATTTGTTAATTTGTTTCTTTATTTTGTTTTTTCTTGTACTATAGAGTAACTGGTGGAGAATTATTTGAAGATATTGTAGCCAGAGAATTTTACAGTGAAGCTGATGCTAGGTATGTACTTTATTCACTCTTACACCTGTGTCTAGTAGTACTTTAATTTAATTTAATTTTTTTTCTTTTTTGTCTATTTTAGTCATTGCATTCAACAAGTTTTAGAAGCTGTACGGCATTGTCATGAAAGTAACATTGTACATCGAGATCTAAAAGTAAGTTAAATCATGCAATTATGTAGCAAATTCGTGTGTTTGAATCTTTATTTTTGTTTAATACATTTTGAAGCGGGAATGTAAATCTTGATAATATTTAGAATGAAAGATGAAGAAAAAATGCACATCAACTGAGACTGTCCTAGTCGAGACACATTTTTTCTCCATCTTTCATTCTGAATCTTTATTTGTACAAAATTAATTTTATGTTTTTCGATAGTTTTAGAATAGTAAAATAAAATTTGTTTCACTTGTATTATGAAAGAAGAAAGTTTATATCAAATAGAGAATTCTATCTTTACGTAATTCTGAGTCATAATAAGTATAAGAATATATGCTTTGGTTTTGCCTGAGAAATGTTTTTTTTACGTTTATTTTCTTTTGCATAGATTTGCTTGTATTTAGGTTCGTTCACTTATACTTTCTTTCGTTCTTTTATATAGCCTGAAAATCTTCTATTGGCAAGTAAAACAAAAGGAGCCGCTGTCAGTAAGTAAATTTGAATGAATAATGTGTTCCTTTTCATCTATTTTTATCTAACGATGATGTTTTTTTCTTTAGAACTGGCTGATTTTGGACTTGCAATTGAAGTTACCGGTGAACAAACAGCTTGGTTTGGTAAATATCAGATATTTTATCTTAAAGTGTTTTTTTGAAAAAAATAAATCTTAAATTTTTAGGCTTTGCCGGTACACCAGGCTATTTAAGTCCAGAAGTATTGAAAAAAGAACCATACGGAAAGTCTGTTGATATATGGGCATGCGGTAACAGATTTAATAAATGTTAGACTTTGTGTTTGATGATGTTGTTGTTTATTTTTTAGGTGTCATATTGTATATACTACTAGTTGGTTATCCACCATTCTGGGATGAAGATCAACATCGTTTGTATCAACAAATAAAAGCAGGAGCCTATGATTATCCATCTCCTGAATGGGATACAGTCACAACAGAAGCTAAACGTTTAATTGATTCAATGTTAAATATTAATCCAAGTAGACGTATTAATGCTACAGATGCATTGAAACATCCATGGATTTGTGTAAGTAATTTATGTAACTATTTAAGTATAACATTATTTTCATCTAATCTGTTCTATTCATTAGCAGATGACAGTAGATTCAATTGCTCATTGAAAATATTTTCTTTTCGTTTTCGTTATATACCATTCACATTTAATATTTCTCTAAATTTTATTCTTGTTCGCTGTATTCTGAAAGAACAGTTTTTTCTTTTGATATTGTTAAGTTTTCGTCGCTATTACAGAAAAATAACAACAGTTATTTGAATTACATTGTGTAAACGGTTAAGCCATTCTATTTCCTTCTCATTTGAGTAAGAAACAATGATTTTTGATTAGTGCTACTTTGAGATGTTTTGAACAAATTTAGTCTTTCCTTTATAGGTAAAACTCGCTTTTCATACATGTTGGTTTGTTCAAAAACAAACTATAACAAAATGTAAAAAGTTTTCATTTTAAAGTTAAAAAATTCAGAACAATCGTGCCATTTCGATGGAACACTTTCAAAATATTATTACAATAGTTCTTTAAGAATTTTGACACAGTTACATCTCTGATTAGGACATTAATAAAAGGATAGTATTAACAAATTTAAATAGAGAGTCAGATACTAAAGTTGTATTATCATTTATTCTGGTTTATTTTCTGTAAATCTACATTAAACTTTTTGTTTTTAAGTGAGAAGAGTATTTAATTAAAAAAAAAGAAAAGTTTATCTTTTAGTGCAAAGATAGTATGAGTTTATTAGTAACTTAAAGTAATCATCTTCACTGAAATGAATTTATATAAAAAATTGAGATATTTTTTGATTTAAGACAACAATTTTATCCAATATTCGTCTATTTTTATTTCTGACTGGTGTTATTATTTAATGTTGTTCTACTGCTAATATATACTCTTCCTCAATTTGATTTTATTCATAATTGCTCTCTTTATAAATGATATTTTATTTAAGTTGACTTTAGACTGAAGTATGTGCCTGTATTTGCATTAGTTATTTGGCATGTGTTACATATCAGTTTTCTAAAAAAAAAAAGAAATTGTGCTTTTTTTGCTTGAGAAATTTTTTTCGCCTTCGCATTCATTTAGTTAATAATAAATGAAATAACGTCATTATTCGATTAAAAAGACCTCGAAGCAGCTAATGTCCATAAGAGAAAAAAGACGAAATTTGACCTTTGACAACAAAAAATAAAATCATGGTATCTTCAAACAAAAAAAGGAAATAGAAATTGGAAATACTGCTGATGATAAGGAAGAAGGGAGGAGGATAACACCCCTTCTATAAATATCCCATTCAATAAGAGGAAAGAGAGTAGCCGTTTTTTTTCCGATTTTTTTTTTTCTTTCTTTGTCTTGTATACATATTTTTGATGAGCAAACAAAAGAATATGAATGAATACATGTTTTAAGTCGATTAAAACATGCAGCTAATAATGAATAGAGTAGATCGAATGTATTGATCTTTTCTTTCTATATATATGTGTGTATGCATATCATCATCATTGTCATTGAATCCGATGTTTCTATTATATTGTATTTTTATATTTTTGCCTTTTTTATTTTTTAGCAACGAGAACGTGTAGCTGGAACAATACATCGACAAGAAACGGTTGATTGTTTAAGAAAGTTTAATGCAAGAAGAAAATTAAAAGTAAGTGGATGAATTTTTCTTCTTTTCTTTTTGTATGCTGAAGGGCAAGAAGGGATGATTTTTTCTTTGACGTTTTATGAAGTCAACAGTTGATACACAAAAATAATCGTAATCGATTTTTTGTTTTTTGAATAATCTGAAAAAGGATTAGTGTCGTCTCATCATTCTAATACAACTACATATTGAAAGTATACCGTTCTATTTTTGTCATTTGAATGGTGCAGATTTTTTAAATTAATATGTGTGATGCGTGCAATCAAATGTTAATTAGCATCTATAAATCAGAAAACCATTGACACCTACCTTATCTTTTACTGTCAAAAATTATTCTATATGGTATAATTTTTTGTTTTTTTGATAAAAAGAATGTATATGTGTTGGTAAATGCATCCACGGATATCATAGTCGTTTTCGATTAACAATCAAGACATTTAAAAATGATGAACAAATTTCCTTCATTGTGTATTAACTAAGAAAATTCTTCTTCAATAATAAATAACAGATTTATTTTGAATCTTTTTTTAAATAATTAAAGTTACTATATTCTCTAGGAATTATTCTATGATCATCCGATGACGTGGTCTTACGTTCAAACTTTTAGTAAGTCATGAAAAAGAGAATAACGTCATAGAAAATAGAGACACCCGTGTTTTTTTTTGTGAGTAAAAGCATAAACTATATAGTTACTAATTCTCGTCTTGTTTACTCTATAATCATCTCAATTTCAAAAGAATTTTTTCCATAGTAGTGTTTGGTCTATGATTTAAGTTTTTATAAAACTAGAGTCTATTTTTACACTGTACTTATCATAGATAAATTATCATTTGATAGAGAAAATCATTTTAATATTGATGATCTATCCGCAGTAGTTTATAAAGCTTAAAGGTAAAATATAATTTATGCCTTAATGACAGAAAGAAATAATAGTTTTGACAATCAACTGTTGCTTTTTTTTGCTCGCATTCTTCTCAGCTGATATTCACTTTTTCTCTTCTCGCATTGTCGTTATCCTTCTCTTCTATTGTTTTTTGTTTTTTATAATGATAAATCTGTATGTATTGAATTGAATATTAACTCTCTGCGTGTATATATATCTTTCTATATATATATATATGTAATGCTCTGATTTGTTTTTATTGTTTTAATGCCATTTTTTCTCTCGTATTTCTTCAACTATTTCTTCATATATAGACAGTAGTACTATTAGAAAACAAAAAAAAAAAGAAAAATATTAATGAATATACATGAATAATTTGCACAATCATTGTACCGTTCGAAAAAACATTTGTCAAAAAATAGTTGTAGAGGAGAAAAGTCTAAGTCATACACAGGGCTGCAAATAGCAGGCCAAACATTAGGGGAGTGTAAAACAAATTTTCTCTCTGAGATAGTGCAAATTGATAAAAAAAAACTTTTGTACGAAGAATAATTGATAAAATAACGACAGGTTTTTCAATTATTCGGGGGCGTGTGTACTCTTCTACATCCTCCCGTTGTCTGTGGTCTTGATCATACATTCGATAAAGCTATATCGATCGTCTATAAAAACATTTTTTTCCACCCAACACTTAATTACATAGCTGACGAAAAAAACAAATAGAGAAGTTTTAGGGATAAGTAATCGTAGTTAGAGTTTATTTGAGTCCAACACGAGATCTTCGATTTGTTAGATCTAAATTGACGTATGTTCTTACAAAACTAAGTGAGCAGTTCGATATTCCTTATAAAAACGAATCGATTGATATATAATAAACTGAAATTAATAAGCCTTTTTCCCTAAAAATACACATATTTAAATTTTTCTAACAACCGAGTTTTGTAGAGCAAACATTTTTCTACAAACTAGTCAGAAAACTCAAATTATTGACTACAAATTTCTATAAATTTGAATACAAATTCATCTGAATATTAGTTTTAAGAAGATATGTGCAGCTAAAATCTCGATATTTTATATTATTTGAATCATTTCTTTAAAATAACAAGTAAAAATGACGTTATCTCTTCACAGTTGTGTTTTTATTTCAAAACAACTAAAATAATAAAAAAAAAATTATTTATCAAAATCTATTGAATGAAACGGATCTAAATAGATGAAAATATTTTTATCATAAGTTTTGTTTAAATATGTATATATTGTATGACAAAAATATTAACAATAATTATCATGAAATCCTTAAATATTTCTCAAGTAGTTATAATGAATTAATTGAAGATTGTCTTTATGAGAAGAAAAAAAAGTCATTATTAAATAATTAAAATATATTTTTGTTTTTCTTCTAAAATGCTTAATTTCAAATAATTCATTACGTTCATTTTTCTAACATAATCTGCTATTTTAGGGAGCCATTTTATCTACAATGTTTGTTAATCGAACATTAATACCTAGTAAGTAGACAACAATAATCTCGTATTATTTTCTTTCTTTTGCTTACTATATATATTAAATAACGTTTGCTATTGCTAAGCTAATATATATATATATATATATATTATTGTCCGTCTGTCTATGTGAGTTTTGTATGTTGCACAAAAATCCGTTAGTTTAAAATATTATATGTCCAGTACAAATACAAAACTCTTTTGAAAAAAAAAGAAAAAAGAAAGAAGCTTTCTTAAGATGCATGTTATTATTTATTTTTTAAAATAATTCATTTAAAGAAAAATAATTTTCGAAAAACAAAAAAAAAATGTTGTTTGCTCTCTCTCATTCTCTTTATTTTTTTTTAATTTTGATCAGTTTATTAACGTATTCAAAAATGTATCATTCATATAATTTTACACCATCTATTACTGCTTTGGCCTACTCGTACTTCTCTTGTCATCACTACTGAATATTTGCTAATTGTAAACAAATTGATCAACTTAAGCAGTTAATCGAGAAATAAGTTTATCATATAAATTTAACTCGAATGAGAACAGTTTGCATTTCTTGAAATACAAACATGCTTAATCGTCCATATGAGTTTTCTGTTTTATATCTGAAAATGTTTAGTAAAATATTAAACTTTTTCAATACACCCAAATTATTTTTCTCCTCTTTTTTTTTCTGTTTAGAAGCTACAACACATCCATCTTCGAAATAGAAAAATAAAGGGTGTGGCTTAGAATTTGAAAATAATGAGAATGAAGAGAATCAACAACATTTTTTTGATGGTTTTTTAATTGTATTTTTTTGTTTTTGTTTTTCTATGGTGGTGTATTCTTTAACACCTTACCACTATTACTACAGAAAGTAATAGTTATAGACGTCTAAAATAATATCTTACGTCTGTTTTTTCAATTAATTTTCCCTCTGTTTAAATTAGTCAGTCGGTCAGACACTTATTCATTCAAATGTCTTTTTTAATCCAATCGAATGTTGTTTTGTGCAATATAATAATCTCTCGTTTTTATGTAAAGCTTTTTTGTTTAACTACAAACAATGAATAAACAATTTTTTGTGCATATCTATCTCGAATCCATCATTTTCAACAGATGGTTATTGATTTTGCCTACACACAACACCGTTGTATGTGTATTATTTAGACGTTGGCATAATTGGTGGTAGCAGCAGCAGTAATAGTAGTCCAACTGCTACACCTCAAGTAGCAAAAGATGTGGCTTCTGCTATACTTTTTAATACTAATAATCTAGCTGATATTAGTAAAAAAATAACTTCACCAATAACGAGTCCAACAGCGGCATCAGCAACACTTGCCGCTTTGTCAAACATAGGAGGAGGTACGCAACAAAAATAAAAAACAACAATTTGGGTGTGCGGTGAAATTGGTTTTGTTTGGATATATTTGTGTATCATCATGCTTTAGCTTCATTATATGTTATTTCAATGCTTGCTCATTTTGAGTATGACAAAAAATAGTCTAATTCTACTATCTTGCTTTTTACATAAATCTCATAATCTCATAATTACAGTGAATTTTTCTTCGATAATGCGAAATTTCGAAAAAGAGTTCGATGTTTTATCTTGTTTGTCAAAGAAGTGAAGAAAGATTTAGAGAACGATAGTAGCATGTGAACAGACAGAAAAGAATTCATAAGGAAAATAAACACGTGTATTATTTATCTTCCTATACTCCAAAAACAAAACAAAAAAAATTTCGATAAAATTTCCAAGTACTGGTTCGACACTTGTCAAATACCAGTACACATTGGCAATGTTACACTGAAATTTTTGTTTTTGCAAAGGGAGACTGTTAAAGAAGGTACGAAAACAGAAACCCCAAGTTATGTAGCTTTCCATTATAATTATTAGATGAGTTAATCTTGACATGAATTATATTCATTGACCGAAATTCCAGTATAACATTTTAGGGAAAATATATCCATTATAAGAACAATTAATAATCTATGTCATTCGAACTCCTACTATGAAAAAAAAATATATTATATATATTAATCCATATTTGGAGTGGTAGTGGAAAAAAGTACTATACATTATTTTTTCCCCCTTTCTTTATCTATAAAATAAAAAATATATATATGTCGTGGTGTATGTGTGTATGGTCATTTTATTTTTAATATGTATATATCTGGATATATATATATATATATATATGAGTAATAAACTTTTTTCTTTTTTTTTTTTTTTTTTTTTTTTTTTTTAAAAAAAAAAAAAAAAAAAATAATTTGGTGGGAATTGTTTAAAAGTTGTTTTAATATTATGTTTTTTTTAATTTTCGAAAATTATTTTTCTTTAAATGAATTATTTTAAAAAATAAATAATAACATGCATCTTAAGAAAGCTTCTTTCTTTTTTCTTTTTTTTTATTATGAGACAGAAAAAGAAAATAGATCATTGTCTCGGCATGGTGTATAACGTGTGTGCATATTCTGGTTTGTTTAAGTAACAAAATAAAAACAAAAATGAAAGAATAAAAAGAGAGTTTTTATACGTTTGTTTTTTTTGAATTTTCTAAATATTAAAGTGTTCTTTTTTATCAAATGTCAATGGACATTGATCAAGAAGGCAAGTGAAAAAAGAAGTGCATTTCATTTATTATTTTTCCATATTGATTATCTTCCTGCTTGTTATGATTACTTTGCATGACTACGATTTTGTTCATTTTTAAATTCATATTTAACTTAATACATTAAAAATTAAAACTTTTTTCATACTATTTATTTCAGGTAATCGTTCAAGACCACCAACACAAAGTGGAAGTACTGTGAAAGAATCAGCTGATAGTAACAATGCAACAATTGATGACAATGAAGCAGATCGAAATGAACGTTTCAGTATGTGAAAATTTTTTTAATAGAATAATAACAAAGATAAACTAAAACTTTATTTGACTATTTTGCGAAATTTTTGACCGTCTAAGTGTATGAAGGTAAATAAAACACACCTATTTTTAGCCGTTAAAAAGCAGCCAGTGAAAGATCATATGGCTACTTCTAATTCAAGTAAGCAAAGTTACTGCTCGAAATACTTTATATTTGTTTTGCATTTAATTACAACGGGAGCGCTCGTCATTGACGATGGTGGTTTCTTTTTTTATCACAAAATAATTTTAAAAAAAAAAGATTAACAACATTGTCATGTGCATCATTATGCTATAATTAATTGTTCGTATGCTTATCTTTTTCTTTTATAATCACAGACACGACCTACTCATACACAGACCACACATTCTTCTTTCGTTTATTAGTTATATTCGAGATGAGAAGTCTGCGTTTGTTGTTCAACTAATTGCATTTAAGTTTTTTTAAGTGAAAATGATTATAGTTAGTGTCGAATTTAGACTTCACGCACTGTCTTTGATCCCTTCTTTTTCTGCTTTATGTTTATGTCTTTAGCGTAAAAAAGATCAGATCGTTTGATGCTCAAACTAACCATTTTTTTGTCTAAATGAGAATAATTACATCTTGTTTACATGATACGATGTTTATAGATAAATTTTATTTTATTTAGCCAATATCAACTGAAAAATCATTTTGTGAATGAATATGTTTTGTAGTTCAGTGAGAACTCATTGATTAAATTACGTTTTCTTCTCGTATTCATCCATATGTGACTAAGATTTATAGTTGTAGTATAGTCACACGACAGCATTTTATCAAAAAGTTAAAGCATCAATGTTCATTATTTTAATTTTTCGAATATTATTATTTCATTTTGGTTAAATTTATTCTTGTTTCTATAAATCGGTATATTTTTTATTATCTCTTTCTATTTAGATATTGAAATAACAAAAGTAACTGAACAACTTTTACAAGCAATTGCCAATAATGATTATGAATTATACAAGTAAGTCTTATTTCTATTTGAAATAAACGTAAAAATAATGATTTTTTTTTTTGTCTAAATTAAGATCGTTATGTGATCCAAAAATTACGTGTTTTGAACCAGAAACAATTGGAAATCTTGTTGAAGGACTTGATTTTCATAAATTTTATTTTGAAACAGGTATATATTTTAAACTTTCTATCATAGTTATTTAGTAATAAGTCATTATCCAAGTGTTTCTTGTGAAATTGAGTTCAATATTGACCTTTAATATAGGAAAATTTTCTCGTTCTGATACAGGTGCGTTATTCTCTGTTGTAAAAAACTCATTTTAATTTTTCTTCTCACTCTTCTACAATTTGCACGTCACTTTAATGATCGATCAGGATTGTATTTGTTGTGATGTGCTCCTAAGTTTTATGTTATATATTTTATTTTTGTTTTTTTTGTAATTTTTTTATCTTGCCTAAAATCTAGGAGAATTTTTTTTATTCAAATATATGTAGTATATGATTTCTGTGTGGAAGAATGAAACATGAAAATTTGCACTATAAAATTTATCTTAGAGTGAATAACTTGTTTGATTTGTACCCATAAGTGGACGAACAGTCAACATTGTTTACTCATCGTCAATCGAAAATAAACATTTACCTTTTTTTACTTTCATAATTTGCGTTTGTTCGTTATTATTGTTGTTGTTTTAATAGTGATAGTTATGTTCAATTTGTTTTAGTTCTATCTGCGAAAGCAAGTAAGCCAACGATTAATTGTACAATGTTAACTCCTGTTGTTCATACATTGGGTGAAGATTCAGCTTGTATTGCCTATGTTCTTCTACTGCAATATCTAGACAGGTATGTATAGTTTTAGCAATTTTATATGAGAAAACTTCATTGGTGATATTAATTTTGTTAAACTTCGATAACTTTACAAGATATTTGTCATCAAATTCCGTTTATATTTCTTTTACTTAGAAATGGTCAAGCTCAGAGTATTCGTACAGAAGAAACTCGTATTTGGCATAAAAAAGATGCACGATGGCAATGTGTACACTTTCATCGGAGTGGACAACCGATATCCGCTATTAAAAGCTCGTGATAGAAAGAAAGCCACACGTTTTTATGATGAACAAATTTCGCTATATTGATTTTTGCTCTTTGTTGTTTTCTTCTTATATAGGAATATTGGCTCTCTATCTGTTTCTCTACTCTATCCTCTCGATCAACGTACATGTATTGCGGGCAAAACGCAACATGCATTGTTTCAACATTTTGCTCATTTTTATTTATTTTTGTTCGTGATTTAATCTATACCCATTTATCATTGTCACTTATTCCTTCTTATTGTTCTCTATTTTGACATTCATTCCTTATTGATGTTGTTTATGGCTGCATTTTCTCATTGTGTATTTTCTTTTCTCTTGGATAACGTTTCGCTTTAAAATGAGTTACCTGTGTAAAAATGGAGTTATATTCTTTTTCTGAACTCCACGTGTTCTCAGTCATTTATTAAACAAAATTGACTATTACCTTCACTACACACACAAAATAACCTTTGGACCAAAGCATTAAACGTGACTTTTATCTGTTTTTCTCTCTTTACCTCTTAGAGTATTGTTCTTAACTCAGGATGCTTATAATGTGAACACTTGTTTCGAAACTACATACTATATACCGATTGAAAAACCGATAAAGCTACTGCTCCATTAGCAGTAAGCCATTTAAATGATGAGAGAACTATAAATATACAAGAAAAGAGAATTTGACAAATTTTTTCTTTGAATGTGTTCTTGTTTTTTCTTCTTCTTCTGTTTATCTACTAGGCAAGTGAATAGTTAATGTTGTTTCTGTTTGTTGTCTCTTTGTGCTCGAAAACACATAGTCATTTTACACTTCTAAAATAAAAAATAAACTAACCTGTATTTATTGTTCGTTTGTCTGCATATTCTATATTTTTTCTTTTCCGACTAATACAAGATTTCAATGTGCGAGAACTTTAACATATATAAACATATTCACATACTAGATTTTTTTCTTTTGTTTTCGTTTTTTTTGTTCTCGCAGTTTTTTGTTTGGATTATATCTACTTTTACAATCTTTTTTGTTTTTATCGGTGATGATAAAAAAAAATTGAAAAAAGTTTTGATTGTTTCTTTTTTATTAATATTCTCGATGGAAAATAAATGTGTGGTTCCGCAAGCAATGCTGTAAAAACATATTTATAATAGCAAGAGCAAACATGTCACGAAAATATAGCATGATTATGCGCGAGGAAAAGGTTATATTTATAAAATTGTTTGTTAATTTCTAAAGTACATATTCTATTACTATACAAGAACTTACCGTTTCTTTTTGGAAATTGATAACAATCAGAAGCGGAAAAAAAATCATTTTAAATTTATTAAAGAAATGGTCGAAATACATTTTTTCATCTGATTGGTATAAAGATATTTGATCTCATTTGTATTCTGATAGATTATCTATAGTATACTTTTATTGGATAATTTAGCTTTTTTTTTCTAGTTTGTCGATGGTTCTTTTTTTTATATTAATTTACTATGTCACAAAGTACTTGCCGTAACGTATTGTCGGTAAATGAACGATAAATTGTTGAGTTTATTGCTATTGATTGTCGTTTCGGGACAAGGATGTAGTACATAGATTTGTGCTATGTGATCGTTGTGTGTTGTTTACCAAATAGCATTAATAGATATTCTCTTTATTATTCGTTAGAACGATGCAGTTGGTTGACTGTCATCTTTTGGTTGTTGTTGTTGATGAAATAGCTGAGAAAAAGACACTCACAACCGTATAACATGCACGATATAAGGTATTTGATATTGACTTCGATGTTGTGGTTATGCTTGTCGATAATGATGATCATAGTTGATTTGTTAGTTCTACGAATCAGAAAAACACCATGACATTTTAAGTTGACAAAAAACAATAGAAAAACTATATTTCACATTGGAATTTAGTCAAGACGATAACGAGAAAGTCGATCATAAACTTATACGCATAAAAAAAAAGAAGAAATTATTAAACAGTTAGATCACAGTAAGTTTGTAAGAACAGAAATGTTTATATTCATTCTGACGAATGTGTCATTTGAAAATGACCACTTTTAAATAATAATTGCCACTTCTAGTGCAAATATGTAAGCGAACCGCTTTGTATAATCGAGATAAATTCCAGTTGAAAAGTAAATACAATCATTCAATTAATCAAAACATTCAAATTACTAAATAATTTGAGAGATGTGACTGCAAATTGTACTTGAGATAATACTTTCAACTAAACTAGGCATGTAAATTGTTTGCAAAACATTAAGTTAGTATTTTAGATAGTATGTATGGAGATAAAAGTATTAAAAATCAAACAAATACTGAGTGATCAAGTCTAAACAGCCGGACTTTTAGTAAATCAAATGACTTGTGATATGATCATATTAGAATGGGCGAACATGCAGTCGGTCTATGTAACAGTGAAAATGTAAAATTTCGCATGTTTATTAGAATCAAGTTCGTTGTGTACACAATTATCGATAGTTAGTATGTTGCAATATTTTATATTGTGTTAGTTTTGCTATGATTTATATGTACAATCTGATTGATGACTGTTGACATTTATTCTTGATTTATTGTATGTTATGACAAGAAAAACGATCAACAGCAATGATTATTTTCTCAATTTTAGCTTTTTTTCAAACAACATGGACAATTTGAGAATTATTAAAAATGTCTAATATCAAAACACAGAATTCATAATCAACGTTGATCAAAGTAATGATAAAATATTTTATTTGGTAAAGGTTGCACATATACCTGTTTATTCTCTTTTGCTTGTTTTTATCAGATAATGAAGGTTGGTACGTATTTCAGGTAAACTGGTTGAAATATAAAACAACGTTTAAACTTTCAAAATGATAATATTATATTCCATTGAAACGAACACTAAAAAGTAAAAATAATTATCAATGTTTAACATTGTCACGTTAATATTTCATTTATTCTACTTTTAGTTATTTCTTGTCGCGATGTTGTTTTATCACGACATCCTAGTAGATATATATAGAAAAATCCGTTTACTATAATATCCATATTTTCAAACTGAATTTTCATTAGAAATGTTGATTAATCATTAGAACGTTGTCAGGAGAGAAGGGTAAGGTAACTGAATTTTCTGATGTATTCTCACGGAACGTTTCACCTCACGCACAGATATCTGATCGTGATAAAAGACAGATGTATGTATAATATGAACTTACTAATTAAAAGGATTGGCACAAGATGAAGTCGAAGTTTCTATGAGAATGTTGTGAATTATCAATTATGGATAAAATCAGAAAAGGTCCCGGTGAAAATGCACAATGGATCCCGTACACTGTAAGGTTGGAAATTATTCATAGAAAATGCTCGATGAATTTCAAAAGTAGGAATTCCTCGAAGATTTTCCACTTTATAGAAAATAAAATTTTCAACAATCTAGAAAATCGTCCTTGAATTTCCATAAATAATTTTCAAACTGCTGGAAATTCGCCAAGGAATTTGCAGTTTATAGAAAATCGACGTTGAAGTTCTATAAATAATTCCCAAGAAAGTAGAAATTCCTTTTTGATTTTCTATATCTCCGAAAATTCCTTGGTGAGTCTGCATCGAGGGGCGGCGCGATCGGGTTGTATTTTGTGGCTGATCCCGCTCCATGCTTTTGAGGCATTCCTGGTGAACTTCCCCAATTTTGGGACCTTCACACTGACACTGTCTCTGCCTAAATCAAAATTCTTACTAGCATAGGCAGAATTGTGATCTAAAGTAGAAACTGTCAAAGTTGATTTAAGTGTAATATGAGTGTCTTTACGTGACGCTCTTATACCTACACTGATTGCAAAACAAAAAAGGTGAATAAGTAATTCGTCTAGAAATTCTTGGGCAAATTTCCAGTTTCTAGAAAATCAAAAACGAATTTCGAGATTCTTGGGAATTATTTATAGAAATTCAAATGAAATTTCTATAAAGTCGGAGATTTCTCGAGAAATTTCTATAAACTCGAAATTCTTCGGCGAATTTCGAGTCCATTTTCCATAAATTAGAAATTAATGCAAGGGTACAGTGCATACAAAAATTTAATAGGATCAAAGGCGATACGAGAGCCGACGAGATGGAAGTGAGAAGGCCGAAAAGGAAAACCGGGCTCTTTTATGCGTTTTTTATACAACTTTTTGTACACGGGATCCGTTCTGCAATTTTCACGCGATCAAAACTCTTACCATTCATGGATTATTATGGTTAGAGACAATGATTTCAGAAATAATTCTTTCTCACGATGTCCGTTCTGCGACATATCTTACGGTAGCGAATAAAAAGTAATTGCTGATAAATGTGATTTATATCCAGTGAATGGAACAGATCCAACTAAAATATTTGAACTGCGAGTTTATGATTGCTTCGCTGTATAGTTTTTTATATCTTTGTATGTATTCAATAAACTTATTTGTTATTTGTTAGTCACTCTTTTACTTTTAGAGATTTATTTGCTTCTCTTTGAATTAATCTATATACGCAATTTCGTGTCATACTAATTCATGCTTTGTTTTTTAAAAAACGAAAACAGTAGTAAGCTTCTCTCATTGAATAAGTCGGTTTTCTAAATTCGAAAAATGTTGATCACAGATGATAATGTTCTTTTCAGACTGAAAGAGACATTTTTATATGAGCAGTTAATTATCGAGTGTTTCTTAATGAAATATAGAACGAAAATTATTTTTAGTGTTGTGGGTTGAAATAATTGATAAATCTTCGAACTTTTTTTGTTATATTTATGAAAATCGACTAATGGTCAACCAGACCATAAGTTCGTTACTGTTTCGCTCATTTTGTTGATCTCACAGCACCTCGTGTCACATATAAGACCATACATCGCTCAGCTGATCATCGTATCAATTAGAAACGTTCTATTCGTTTGCGTAATTATATCGAAATCGAAATCCTCCCTTCAACACATTATCAGTTCGCTGTCTCAATCGCATCAACAAGTCGCTGCTAATGCGGCAGTAACCGACAAGCGTTTTCTTTGATGTGATGTGACTCTTGTCGAATAAATCCCATTTCTCTACCTCATAAACTATGTATTCTCTCACATAACATTCAAAGTCTTGTCTTTCTTGTCTGTCTTTGTCAAAACAGCATTATCAAAATATCTGTCACAACAACTTTCAGTCATGTTCTTAGTCAATTCTATCGCTGTTATTTTTCTTTTTAGTTGTTTTATTTACGTTTATTCTTTATATCTGTTCGCTGTTTCTCTGATTTTCTTATTTTGTTTACTATTCATTGCTTCGAATTTTACTCGTCACTAGATCCGCGAATTTCGATCTGTCTCCGCTGGATTTTATCACTTTCGAAGACTTCCAATTGAAAGTAGTAAAAACTTTCTGGTTTCGGATCTGACAATAACTGATATACATAAGATCATTTCTGTGCAACAGAATCCGAATGGATTTGATTTTGTTGGAAGCTGTCAAGTTCTGTCGGATCTCATATGGGGTTACGTTACCCGTCACGCGATCTTTGTGCACTCTTTTTAAAACTAAGTAACTTTCCTTCAAGGAATTCAAAAATATATTTAAGGAGTCTATCGTATTCTTGCAAAAAATAAAATTCTTCGTAAGAAATAAAACCGTATAGATTAGCTGGAACTTAGGGACATCTGGAAAGACTCTACATTTCTGTCGTTGGTAATGCTGATACAGTATGCGCTTCCATAATCGATGAGAGCGAAAATAGATACGAGTTAGTTAAGTGCTAATGCGTTTGAAATTTTGAAAATGCAGCGTTCGTGCAAAATATGTGTGCCGGATGTTGCTAAGCAATCATTGCCATTTTACTACTATAATGCGTCGACAACTGCAATCAGTCGTTCATGACAAAAAAAAAGAGGAACGGAAGAATACCTGAAAAAATGTTTCCAAGTAACGTACCTATGACGACCTTGCAATTGCCATCACCACAAAACAGACACACATAAAGACGACGCGAAGCAACAGAAAAGGAAAACATTTGTGTTGATGATCTGATATTGTCCGAATATCGAGACTCTTATTCTATTTGATATCTGTCCACTCTTTTTTTCTTCTTCTATATGAGCCGTCCCAGTTAAATCTTAGTTTCTTTTAAATCGGAAAATATGTTTAAAAATACATTTCAAAGTGGATTTTTATCAATATTGTACAGTATTGGTAGTAAGCCGTTACAAATATGGGACAAAAAGGTAATAATTTAGTTTTTCTGAGATTTCTATCCTGATTCTATCTTTGTACATATTCTTCTTCTTAGGTTCGAAATGGACACATAAAAAGGATAACTGACAATGAAATTCAGTCATTAGTTCTCGAAATAGTTGGTACAAATGTTAGGTTCGTTGATTAAAGTATTCAAACAGTCGCACTGGAAATATTCGTTCCTTTCTATTCTTTTAGTACTACGTACATTACGTGTCCAGCAGATCCCAAGAAAACATTGGGTATCAAATTACCATTTTTAGTCATGATTATCAAAAATTTAAAAAAATATTTTACATTTGAAGTGCAGGTACATGATTTGCTATTTAAATATTAGGAAAATTGTTATAGAATGTGGCTTATTGTTTGTCGTAGGTACTCGATGATCGAAATGTTCGTAGGAGATTTCGTGCCAGTAATTATCAAAGTACAACAAGAGTCAAACCATTCATATGTACCATGCCAATGAGATTAGATGATGGATGGAATCAAATACAATTTAATTTATCGGACTTTACTCGACGAGCATATGGAACAAATTATATTGAAACATTAAGAGTACAAGTAAGTGACAGACAGGAACATGTCTCTATAGACAAATAACGTCATAGTAAATATTGTTAACGAGAAAGACAAATCAGGACAGGTGTTTGTAATTCGTCTACTATTTCAAGCTATGAACTGTTGACGGATTTGTAAAAGAAGTTCTCTACGGATTGTGTTTTGTACAATTACTTTCGTTTAGTATCTTTCTTCCTATATTATGTTATATGTGATACTAGAACTCTCTGGTATCAACTAAGTAATTAGAGTAAAATAGAACAGGGAAAGATAGTTTATTGAATTCTTTCTGCTTTGTTGCTGTATTTATTTATTTTATTATTGTTCTCATTTATTTTAGATTCATGCCAATTGTCGTATACGTCGTGTTTACTTTTCTGATCGTTTATATTCTGAAGATGAACTACCACCAGAATTTAAACTTTATTTACCGGTACAAAAGAAATAAACTCTTAATTAATTGCTCATTAGATGCTGCCAGAAAACTTCAGTTTTTTTCTACAGGCTATCAGATTATTTTATTAGAAAGAAATATAAAATCACTGTGTACATTTTGTGATTTATCTTCAACGTAATTCAACATTATTACTTCAGTTGTAGTTTCGCTGAATTTTGTTACGTAATGTACTTATTTGTATTCTTTTTTTTCTCCATTCTGTCTGTAACACATGGAATGCTTTTTTATCATTGTTAAAAAATTGAGATGAAAGTCGAATTTCATTGGCAGACCAAAATGTAGCCCTGACCCTACCGAATGAGTTTTATTCGTTGGCTCGTAATGGTCACTGAAATATAGCTCCTACACGATCGAGAGCCATTTTTGAAAGATGAGGTACTTTCGAACAAAATCAGGACTTACCCCAAACCTATGATTTTCAAATTCCATCAAATACTCTGCAATGTCTCTAGACTATGTCACTTATATCCACTGTTTATCTGCCAGACGTTTGGCAAACCAAGTACTTTCATCCATGCAATACTCGTACAGTATGATTTCTTTCGAAAAAGAAGGGCAAAACTGCGAACCGTCCTCAACTTGACTCCATAAATTGGAAAGAGCACAACATTCTGAACAAAATGAGATATCACTGATAGTTTTTCAGTTTTTCTAAACCATCAATTCGACAACCTAAAAATTAGGTTTTTATAGTAAACCATTTTTGCCTTCACATTTATTATTTTCTCACCTTTTTGACCCAACTTTTGAGACCGAATTCGGATAGTCCACACTTGCATGTCTATGAAAATGTGCATCTCGTTTTATACTTAAGCCAGAAGCTCGAGAACGGCGTCAAACAATATAAACCCCTAAGATCCTCAGAAGACCTACGGTGTCGGGCTGAAGGTGCGAGGTAAAAACGATCTGGTCGCATTATCGGATAGACCGTGCAATGGACTACATAGGAGGAAAAAATCCCTCTTCGATCGCTTGTCTTGGCGGAGAAACAGAATCTTTATTTTTGTTCTCCATTTTTTAGACGCTGAATTTTCCATCGAACGGACTCTAGAAAACCGTTCAGAACTAAGAAAGTAAAAGTCCTAGAAGGCTCAAAATTTGGATTTATAGGTTTGATCAAGATAGGACTAGTTAGAAGCAATCTGAGACATCGATTGAGCATAACGTGTTGTTTCTCTCATGCAATGACTCCTATGAATAGAGGACTGTATGAACTACAAACATTCCACAAGTCCAGCGCTGTAACGTTTTTATTTTTTTAAATAAAATCAGTCCGAGAACGTAGAGTTTGAACGCCCAACGTAAACCATAATTCCATCCGCTTGCAAATAGTCCAGATGTTTAATGAGTTCAGTCTTGGTATAGAACTGAACAATTGAAAGTCAGTTTTTACGCATCTTTTTAAACCGCAAAACAATTGTATTTAAACTGCTTTTTCATCCATCGTGCACAAAAATCATTCTCTGCCATTATTAGTATGGAAATCGTTGTTTGATTCATCTATTTAATAATGTATCAAGCACTTTAGAAACCACTAACGATGTGCTGCAGCAACAATTATGAGATCCTTTCAGTTTTTTGCATATTAGAAAAAAGATTTTAAATACAATATTCCCGAGTCAAAAGTCTTGAAAAAAATCCTGCATGAATGAATCCAGCTGTATTGTACATGAAAACACTCTATTAATGATATATACTTTAATACAAACACTGTCTTCAGTTGAGTGTACTCTATTCTCGTTTTCTTGGGTAAACGAGAACAATGAACCATTTCCACTACATGACACAAATACTCCATTGTGTACAAGAGAAGAAGGAGTCCGAGTTATATTCTATTTATCAGTATAATCAATTATATTATTTAGCAATATAATCAACATATTCTAGCAAAATGTGTCAGTTGTATCCAGCGGCGTCTATTCCCACCTAAGCATTTGAGGCCTTTTGTACCACCTCAGAAGGTCGAACCTTCAGTCCACCACCTAGAAAATGAATTTTTTCAACAAAAAAGCGTCCCAGCTACTTTTGTTTGAGGCATTCTGCCCCAAACGTCCCAGAAGGTAG